TTCTACGCTTTACGAATATAACAATACTTATTTTACACTTGCAGGGTATTAAAATTTTAGTCAGAAGTTTGGAACCCATTGAAGGAGACATTTCCGACCCCGAAGTGTACATATTCTTGATCAGCAACAACAACCGAGTCGATCTAGCCATGGCCGTTTTTTATGCAAATTAGTCCCTATCTTTTAAAGCTATCTGAATTAAACTTTTGATTTAGTCTTCTATATCTCTTCCTCGTATATAGTCGGATCGGATTATATAGCTGCCATAGAAAAAGCATTAATATTTATTATTATAACACTAATTAAACAAAAGTTGGCAAATAACAGTGCAAATGTTGGTGCCCGATCGGTAATAGGCGAAAAAAACTGAACAAACAACCTGCTGCAGTTCCCTTCTAACAAAGATAATCTATGTGTGATCTGTTATATAACTCTCTCGATTACTTATTAAATCAAGCAGACTAGTCCTCAAAATTTGCTAAAACAGATAACATTAAACGATATTTGAAACCTATTTTATGCTTAATTCTTAGGACTTCATTGAAAATTTATAAAATTGAAAATAATAAAAAAAAAAAAAACTATCACATGTGTCTTTGATGTAGCACTGTATTACTTTTTTAATCATAGTAACAGCAGACTATCTTCACAATAAACCTTTATACAAAAAAGTTCTTAATGCAGCCATAAGTATGCAATGATTTATAAACTAAGTTATGTATGTACATATGTGTATCCTGTAGTCGCGACACCGGGACAAGTGGCATTTCTGCTGCGCAGATACACCTGTTAAATCCTCGATATATGTATGTAGCTTATCTAGATATTGCTTAGACATTGATAACTCCCACTCATAGCGCTTTGTGGGCGTTTATCAGCACTTTTCGTATCGACCATTTATTGCCTTGCGACTGCCGCATCATTTCTGACCGTTTTGTCATTGAAAGCAAGGGTTTCCTGTACCCGCCAGTCAGACTTTGGGTGCAAGTAAATAGACACAAATATTTATTCGCAGACACCCAGATAATTTGTAGTTTTTATGTGGCTAAAAATGATAAAAAATATAATGTGGAAAAAGCAACAACAACGAAGACAAAAACCAAGGCACAGCGAATCGAAGTAAATGAACGTAGGTAAAGGTGTGTGTTTCTTTGCGCCAGTATATGTATGTATGAATTTGTTGGAAGCCCGTTACTTATGGCGAATGACGATGTGCAGAGGAGAGGGCCAAGAGAGAGGCGCTCAAATTATCGTTCGCTCGGTGCGAGTTAAGTGCAATTTAGGTGCAAGTGTACCGGGCGAAAAGTGGGCGGCGCACAGTGGCACAAAAGAGGGAAAAGTGGGCACACACACAACGAAATGTCAAGGCCAAGAATAGTTATTCAAGACAATATTCGGGAATGGACTGGTGTTCTATGCTGGCTTTTTAATACTCTTAGCAACAATCTCAGAAAGAGACTTTCTATTGTATTTTTATTTGTGGCGAATAATTTTGGCAACGACCACACTTTCGCTTTGACCACTGTACGATTGTAGAAATATAAATAACAAATATAGTATGTGATATAAGATCAATAAGTATTACAGCGTAATTACCAGTCATGTAACAACAAACACAGTTTCTTGTTTGTAGACAGGTAATGGGAGATAATACTGGTTAGATAAAAACTTGAGCCTATTTATTATATTCAAGCTAAGGTGTGCTAAAAAAACACAAATTTGGATGGTTCTGAATGACAAATAATTTCCTATTTCATGTTCATGATCAATCCTCTTTTTTTACTGTGCAACATATCAGATCGCTGTCTGCCCCCGTTGTTTGTATGTATGTATTGTTTATATCCGTGAGTCAGATGTTAAGCACTGTGCACCTGGAATCGCTCGTTAATGAGTCAGAACTCAGCACGCGACAATCCAAGAATTGGTAACTCGCACAACATAATGAGCGTAATTGTTATGCTTTTGTTTTTAACAATCGCACTTATTATATTCTTATGCTTTTGTTTTTCACTAGCAAACTCACCTAATACTTTTCGCAAACAAAAACAAAAGTCCAGAAGACGGCTGAATACTGTGTCCCAGATGATGTGGCTTCACTGAGGTACCTATTTCGTAGTCCACTTATTGCATTACATAAATAATCCCGAGCCTCGTTTGTTTTTTGCACTTTGTTGTTTTTCCTTAGTCACATCCTTTTTGGGGACGCGCAGTTCACGTTTCCAGTTGGCCTTTCCTGATTTTCCACCTCGCGCAGCACCGAATTGTTTGTGTTTCTAAACTACTACAACTACACAAGCACTGTCACTTTCGCACCCCGACGGCCAGTTTTGTTTTTCCGCGGAATCAAATTGTATATCTTTTTTCCGACGATAAAAAATAATTAGGGTTGTTGCTGCAATTTTTTTAGGCTTTTTGATATTTTCTTGGTCACTCTGATATTTTTTCTAAAATTAGTATTGGCCACTCTGATTCCGAAGCAGTTGTTTAACATTTTACATCTCGTCTCGACAGCAATTTTTCACATCTACAGATATATGGAATCGAATTCTCGTTTTTGGATTAGAATTCTCATAAAGAATGTAAAATACACTAACAGACGTGCTCTTATTAGCAGAATTCTCTCTCGTTGGCAGTCGGGTTGATGTAAATTAATTTTTGTTTCTGGTCACTCTGAAGCTGTTATTAAACATTTTACACGTCTAGAAAACAATTTTACACATTTAAATACATGGGTAAAATTCATACTTTTGGGAAGAATTCGGTTATCGTTTCTTTTTCGCAATCCTTTTTTTAATTTTATTGTTTTAGCACAGAATCTAGCTAATATGGGTGGTCACAACCTGGTCAAGATTAGAGGTGCAAAAACGGATACGTTAATATCGAAATACACTATTGTATCTCTACATTAAACTACTTTTATACTTGCTTTAAATTCATTTAATTTTGTAACAAAGTTAATACTTGTTACGTTTCGGATTCGAGTTAAAAATATTCCATAAACTATCAGTTTTGCGTTGGTTCTTAATATCGGCTAGAAAATACCGATAGTGCACCAACATTTTAAACGTTTGAGATTTGCGTGAAACTTAATGCATTATTGGGAAAATTAAAAGGAACTGGGCATGGCTAAATTACTTCGCCTAATAATGTTATTATTTGTGAAAACATAAATTAAACAGGGCAAAAATGTAGCTAGGAACATGTTGACCAACACCCATGGTGCGCCAAGACAATACATAGATGTTGCAGAACTTCAACGTAAACATAAACTTTGTTGTATAATAGATCCCATATTTACTATCAATAAACAAAAAATGTTATTTGCATATACGTTATTAAAGCGGTCGATTTCTAGCACTAATTTGAGTGAAAAATTTGGTAGTTCTATCCCTTTAGTCTGCGAACTGTTAGTTTATGGGGTCGGAGACACCTTCTGCCACTTAGATACAATCGTGATTGGCTTGAATTCAATGCTTTTCGGGATATAAAAAGAGCAACACAACATTTAAATAATTACAAACCGATGCAGGACATTGATCAAAAGGTATAACCACAAAGGTTCTTTTTTCTGTACAAATAGACGACCGAATGTTTTAAAAAGCTATAGGCGTACAATATATTAATATTTTTAACATCGATAAGTTTTTCTCGATCCACTTGCTGGCGTCCCTTGACACCATTTCTTATTGCTATATTGTATTCCAAATTAACTGTTGAGATATAAATTGATTTTAAGATCACGTCGTATTATAAATCATTCCGTGTTTGCATTGAATTAAGTGAAAAATCGTAGTTTTCCCGTAGCTTGCCACTCACTACTGGAACTCAAAACGTAAACACAACAGGATATATCCCGAGCTAGTTTATAATCCTTCATGGACAGCTTTCTTATACACCGATACCGAGCTGCTTCTGAAAATAACCTTTTAAACGCCTTGTTCAAGCCAAAAGTAAATCACAAAGTCCGAACGATTTTACGTTAAATTACAAAGGGAATTCGCTTTATTACCAAATCAAGTTCTATTTATTGTTCTCACATATTTAGAAGTTCCTGAAACGAAGAACAGAAGTATAGATTAGAAGCCTGCCGGGCCAAGGACGGGGCAATCGAGCGACTTACTTGGTAATGAGGCCGTCCTTCTTGGCCAGACGCACGATGCAGTCGTCGGACTCGCCCATGCGACGGATCTCACCGCAGATGGCGTAGGTCTTGGAACCGTCGGTCTGGCGGCCGGTCTCTGGGTCCACGTCGACGATGCTCAGCTGCACAGAGGCGTGATCCTTGGCGTGGATGATCCTGTTGGACGCCGAGCTGCAAGTTCAGAAGAGAAGCGGGTGAGCACTCGGCGGCACAAATGCGCGGGGAACACGTGTTTCACTTACCACTTGCGGGGCACATACAGATCAACATTCTCACCGGCGTCGTTCTCCATTTTATGGTGCTGCGAGGTGAACAAAATAATTAGGATATCATCTACCAACTTTTCGGGGCAAAAACGGCCGGTTAACTCACTTTTTTGTAGAAATTTACAAATGTAGCGACCGCAATTCGACGGTGGAGGCGAAAAAGAGAAAGAAATGACAGTTGGGCGTGAAGTTGGCTGCGCTGCGGGTGGCGCGCTCTGGTGGAAGTTTTCGGTACTAATTTCAGGGGGACCAGCTCGTTGTGTTTTTAGTATTTTTTATATTATTTATTTAAATTAATTCAATTATTATTATAGTTGTATTAAGTATAATAATAATTTAAGTAAAAAATTACTCATATATGGTTTATTACTGAGCTTTATTATTTAACATGATTCATTCTTTAGTTGGCGCCAAGTTTTAAATAACCTTATACACACTACAATTAAAAATAAGCATTTGTCCATTTATATATTTAGTAATTTAACCTTAACAGTTTAGAAAATAAAACACAATAGATATCGATCGAATGGTAGTTTTGTACATCTTGTTGCGATTGTGTGTATTTTTGTTTGCCACAAACGGTCACACTTACCGAGGCCAGTTGTAGGCTACAATTTCGCGACGGGAAAATTATATTGCATATTTATTGGTGCATAAAGTAAATGCCTGAGATTCCACATAAATAATTGCACCGACTTCGGCTTTACTCATCTTTACTGTAGACAGAACGTGAGTATTGATTTTTGGCCAATGTCGGTCCAGTCGGGCATGGATTGGATGCGGGGAGCGGGCAAACTTCCTTTGACCTCGCTCGGTGTCAGCAGCGATTTTCGTCAATGGCAAGAAGGTTCCGTTATTTCAGGCACTTTTATAGCCTTACACTTCCTTCGATTTCGCGTGTGAATGTGCCGTGGGTGTGTGAATGGACGAGTGGGAGTGAGAAGGATTGTTTTCGTCGTGGTTAATACGCGCCATGTCCCGGAATTTACAGTCCACGTTGCCTATTTATAGGCGTCGCTGAGCATTCGCAATTCCAGTCGCGTGTATATTCAATGAACTTTCAACGGCGGCGTTCAACGCCTGAGGTCAGCCTTATTTGTTTTTGTACCGCTCTCGCATGGCATGATCCCTCTTACTCTTATTCTCTTTAACTTTGTGAGTGAACTGTAACTGTGCAGATAGAGTAGACGAAGACATACCGTGTGTATTCTCTAGTTCTCAAAACTTCAAGATTTCAAATCGATCGAAGTATTTTTACAGTCCCATCATTATTTTCTTGATGGAATATTTTTAATGGAACAAAAGAAAAGATTCAAATAATGTCGGGTTGATGTTAGCCTGGTTAATTACTATTGTACATCAACATTTAAAATCGATCAAACTAGCTTTACATTACAAGAAACATTAAAGATTCTCTTTGAAATCAGCTAAATGAAATTAATTTTTAACTTCGATCTAGCCATCTCCTTCTGTCTGTCCGTTTCTACGCAAACTATGCTTTCAGTTTTAAATCTATTGGATTTAACTTTTCATTTAGTCTTCTATATATTCTCACTACTATATAAGTCAGAATCTAACTATACTATATCTATATACTATATATCTATAACTATATCATATAGCTGCCATCGGAAGGAGGAGAGTAATTATAAAGTCTTATTTCTATGCTATTTCATGTGTTCGCTTAGACTAAATTATGAACAATTTTAGCACTTCGGTCAGAATTCCATAAGCCCTCGCAATTCCGACGTACAGGGTATGTGAAAAGCTGCAGCTCTCTGTAGTCGCTGTGGGATTTTGCTTTTTCAGTTGCTCGCCAACTTTGTATCGGTCCCCTTCGTGTCGTTTGCTTTTCGAAAAGCCGAGCGGCGTGACTCTTGGTTTATTGTTGTTGTTTTGCTTTTTTCTGTTGTGTTTCGGTTCCTGAGACTTCTTGAGGTGAGATCTCACAAGTGGCCAGGTTGCCTGTTGACCTTTTATTTGTGCAAATGATGATAGTTTTGCATAATGTGTTAGCTCTAAGCTGAATTCAAGCGAGAGCGAGAAGATAAAATGAAATGAGATCATGATAACGCGAGATGCTATTTATAAACTGAAACACACAATAGCGAAAATACCCCAGAGACTCGTAGTAAAGCAGAAAAATTGTTAACGAAACTGAAAGTGAATCTAATCATTGGTATCGTAAAAATATCACTATTTACAACAAAAGTTAACTCATAAAATCTATAATAAATGTTCATTAGGCATTGTAGTTTTTTTTTGGGAAGCCGACACTAAGTTAAAAAATGTATTTTTGTAAACGTGTAAGGTCTTGGAACAATCTTCACATTAAGTTAATTGTGTTTGTTACTTTAATATAATTTTTGTAAGATTTATAGATTGTTAAAAGCAACATGGTTCAATACTGATAAGAATTTGAAAAGCTATTGATCATTAATATCCCCACAACATTTGGTAACTTCCAAGTAGTGTCCGTCAAAACAATCTAATCAGTGGTAGGCGTCTTGTAAAATAAATGGTATGTTGGGATCCAAGAATACATACATATTTATAAAACATATCATTTTCTATACTTTAAACTTTGATAAGAGTTTGATAATATACTGTTCTTATTCTAGTTAAATCATTAAAAATATTACTATTAAAACTAGCTCTTATCATTTGAAAAAACGACTCGGAAAAATCCATCATAAGAGCTAATTAAGAATATTTACTATCCAAAAAAAGCCCAATAAAGAAAACTGAGGAAAAACTGTAAACTCATGATGTCACTGCGGAGTGCGTGTATGCCCTAGAAAATGTTGATGAAAAGCCACATGGAAAAGGCCCAAAAACTAAAACACTTTCTAGGTCAAAAGTTGAAAGGCAAAAGGCATGATGATGCGGCTCATAAAAAAAGAGAGAAAAAAATTAAGAAAAAGCTGGAAACCAGAAAAAAATGCGCTTGCATGAAATGCAATTAATAAGGCAACGTGCAACAAAGTAAAAGCCCGCAGAAAGAAAAGAAAATGCTTCACTTTGTCTTACCTATTGCGTGTTGATAGAGCCAAGTCAGGTCCGATCTGAGGGGCCGCCGCCTGTCAATTGTCAGGGGGAGTTACCATTAACAACACAGAAATTACAGCATGCAAAAAAAAAACTAATAACAAAACGGGGGAAAATCATAGCAAAATGCATGATGTGCAATATTTTACAAAAAAACTAATACTTTCTTTCAGAAAAAAATGGGTTTAAGTGGTAGGTTTATAGCTTAGCATATTATTAAGAAAGGCAAAGGGAAAACTTTTTTAATTGCAATAGTTTACAGCCTTGAACCAAGAAGTGCTAAGACATTCTAGGTTCATTAAAAAATAATGGCAATTTGTGAATGCAAATTAAGTTATAGTAGGTATTATATATTTGTCGGAATGAAGGCGATGCATACAATTGCAGTTTTATTTATTAAATATTTATAAGAGTGCCAGAAGTATGTGGTAGTTCCCAAGGATTTATTTCAATTTAAAACTGAAAAATGAGAAGAGAATTATACATTTTTAAATAGAAAAGTCCAAGTTAGTTTCTGTGCCTTTAAACACCTTTTCCTAGTTCGTTTTTTCCATTTAATTTTATTCCCAGGAACTCCTCCCCATGGGATGTAAACTTTCCTTTTCCTCGTCTATAATTTTTTTTGCATTCTAATTGCTGGCTTTGGGATTTGAAAACCTGTTGTAAACGCGTCGGCAACTTAATTCTAATGCAACTCGTGCCTTTTGCCTCTCCTATTTGCAGTGCTTGACTTTTGGTAACTGGTCGCTTGGACTTAAAGATTGAGTTTGGACTTGAGATGGTGCTTCCCCAGTTGGCCGTTGTAGTTGGTGCGGCTGCTGGTTTTCCCGGGATCTGATTTGGTGCCACTTGCTAGCTGGTGCTGCCTGTTGCACTATTACTGTTAGCCCCCAAGTTGAGTTGCAGTTGGAGGAGCAGCGTTACAATTTGGAAAATCGGTCAATGGAAACGGGCTTGTAAGCAGGTGCAATCGCTGTGGAGAGCCGCTACAAAATCCAGACCTAGACCAGGCCTAGAGCACAGAGCGGCGGTGCACGAGCATGTCGCTAAAGGTGAGTAAATGCTCAGGTATTGACCCATTTAAGACGGCAATTGACTCATACGGAACGGGCGTGATAGCTCTGTGATGGGAAAACGACCAGACGAATGGAGTTTGGGAAAAGCTAGCTAACAAAGTCATCTCTTTAAATGACATGTTTGTGATGGCGTAGAAATTAATTACATATTTTCAAAGATGATGTCCTAATTTCTCACATACTTACTATGTTGAGTATTTGTATTGCATCTATTGCATTGTTTGGCAATCAGATTTACCAAGTGTATATATGTCTGAAGCTTTAAAAGTGTTTCTCACCTGCTACTGACAATTGCTACTCGCTGCCTATAAATATCTTCGTCATCATCATCATCAGGGGGCATGATAATCATCGTAGAGGCATCATCGCCGTCGTCATCATTGTCATTATGTCATTCCGAAGTGCAGCAGCAGCATTTACATTGTTTCCCTCGCCAACTTGAGGCACGTCATGTGTTCATGTGAGGGTTTTCACTTGTCTTTGCCCCGTCTTGTTGTTGTGCCTTTCAACAGGTGCTTCAGTCCCTGCATTATTGCCTCCTGCCTGGCAGACATAAACACACATCTAGACCACTTAATTCGCTTCATTACCGCAAAGTTGACATTTTTACTCTGCATTTAATTTAAAATAAGTTTACCCTTTTTCCGCAAATTCTGATGGGCCTCAAGATGGGTGACCAGAGTGATTTATTGTGCGACATACACCTAGGATGATGTGTTTAAATATATATTTCATTATATTTTCATAGTTTTATCGACTACAAAATGATAATGGGGCTAGAGAAATACCTTAGGATTTTAAATTCTTCAAAACTGTGTCTAAAAGTATGGTACTCAATATTATAAAAAATAAAAGTAGAATACATTTGCTACTAACACTACACAGATTAGAATAAGTTGTCACACTAATCACTAAAAACTTCATTTACTAAAAAGAAGTGAATTTAATTAAAAATGTTCATACTTTTAGACATTCTTAAGGGTTTTTAAAACTGGCAGAATATTTCTCATATCCTTAAAAAATATAATATAATCCGTAGGTAAAATCTCAAATTAAAAACGTATTTAATAACTAGAAGAGCTAGAGTATTTCTGGTTGTTTTTATTTTATTATTCCTTACTAAGTAACTAATTTTGTAGCTTAAATACAATTAAATTCATCTTAACAATTATTTTCTAATATAATTGCCCTACTTATTTAAAGAAAATGAACTCACCTGAGAGGGTTAAGATATACATTTAACATTAGACCTAGGCCACAGCGAAAGTATTGAAAAAATGCATTCAATGTGCACCGCACATCCGCTGTTAAATAACTTTTTGCTGTTTGTAACTGGTATGACCCTAATTACAGTGAACAGGAAAAGTAATTTCCCCACATCGTCATCGTGTTTTTTCCTCAACAGAGGCGCCCCGGATGAGGCAACTTTTTGAGAGGGGAACGCGTGGGCCGTGGGTGTCATTATCCAAATACCTCTTTTGTTTTCATAGCTGCTGCTGCAGCTCTGAGTTGTTAATTGATTTGATTCCATCTTCTCCCCCAATGTAGAAAGAGACGCCATCGGATGTGCAGCTGCATATGGCAGCCATGAGGGGTGATGAAGTGGCTCTGCTGAGAGTTCTGGACAGCGGAAAAGTCCATGTGGACTGCAAGGATGAGGTAAGTCTAATGTTTAGGCATCTAAATGGGTCAAAAAAGTAGTGATAAAGATCTGAGATTGAAAATACATTATAGTTTCAGTTCACTTGCTTAAATATTACTTCCTCAATGTAGTTATGTGACAAGTTATATCAACTTGGCTTTGTTTACTGAACTTACACATGCAATCCGTAAAGCGTTAAACATGCGACTTGAAAATGCCGAGAGTTAATATTACGAAATATCTGTCAAAATAATATATATATATATAAACTCTTAACAACGCTAAAATCGGTTAATAGTTAACACTTTGTTGGCTTAAAGTACGCACCAATTGGCAAAGAAGACGAAAAGTGCAGCAAAACGAAACCGACAGCAGACATCACAAATAATAATTATTGAGCACATTCACCGAACACCAATATACACTTTTATTTAGAACAAATTAAATAGAAAATTGTTAAATTAATTAACACATAATAACATGACATTGCTGACTTTGTTAAATGTTTTTGTTAGAGAATTTTCCATAGGTATTTCACAAGCTGCTGAGAAGCTGCAGTTGCCCTATAAGAAAGTTAGTTTAGGCTCGAATTTTTGAGCATTTGGATAATATTTTAATACCCTCTGAGAGTGTATGAAAAAATGAAATTAAATTTCACTTGACGCTCAGCGGAGCGTGGTCCGAAGAGCAAAGGAAAGGAAAGTGGGCTGCGGGGGCACTGTGCCAGGGTATTACATGCCGGCTGCTCTGCAAATGTCCACGGAAAGGGCACCCGGACTCGGAGTCGTCTCTACGTGACTCCCCCATTCAGCTCGGATTCAGTCCAAGTGCATCGAGAGCGATTTGCAATTGTGGCGCGATTTTCGCTTGGGGATACAATGTCTTCTATCTGTTTTCCGTCTGCTTAGTTTTTTACCGATTCCCCCCGACGAGTCACAGACATGCATGCAAATCCACACGAAACGCTTTGGCGTTGAGTTGGTGAAACTAATCGCAATTTGCTATTCAAATCACTTGATGGTGGGTCCATTAAACAATTAAATCAAATGGGTTTTCATTTATCGCATTGGATTTATAAAACTTAAAGATTTTCCTTTTCATTTCACACAGCAAAGCATTGCATTGGATTTGTGTACCTAGGTTATTGTATTAATTCCATTTAATTTGTTTTAAGTTTCAAGATTGTTTTCAAAATTAATCTTCAATTTAAATTCAAATGTAAAAATAATTTGTTGAATAAATGAGTACATTTCTTTTCATTTGTATACATGTACACTTTAAAAGCTAGTCTGTTATATTCCAATAGACTTCTTAATATCGTAAAGTTAATCTTTTAACTAGAACTGTTAATAGAAATTAAAAGAAATAGACTTAGAATTTGATATCAAAAGCCTTTTATTACACATTTTTAGATACTTTTTTTATAGGTTTTAAAAGCACCAAATATAAAAATTGACTAATATTTGTTTTTTTTGATAATAGACATTTACTTTTTGATTTTTGAAGTAATATCTTTAATTTTATTAAAAGGGGTTGAATTGTAAACTAAAGAGTTATTTAAGCTACGGTTTTCTGAAGCTTTCTTGTTTCTATATTTAAAAAAATATATTTATTTATTGAAAACTTAAAACCTTTAACTTACTGTCAGTTAACCTGTTTTTCCATTGATCTATCCCTTGACAGGATGGAACGACTCCACTTATTTTGGCTGCTGCCGGAGGCCACACCTACTGCGTGATGGAGCTGCTCGATCAGGGAGCTGATCCAAATTCCCGCCGCTTGACGGGAACCACACCGCTCTTCTTTGCCGCCCAAGGCGGCCACCTGGATGTAGTGAAGATCCTAATGAAGGCCGGTGCCAGTGTGGACACACCTTCTGCCGATGGGGGAACACCACTTTTTGTGGCCGCCCAAGGTGGTCATGTGAAGATAGTTCGGGAGCTCTTGGACTGTGGAGCGAATGTGAATGCTCACATGAAGGTACATATATACATAGATAATAAATTTAAGCCTATACAATTTTTAAGTATTCACTTAATTATATTTTGCAGGACCGTGCCACACCAGTTTTCATATCCGCTCAAAATGGGCATCGCACAGTTCTGTCCCTGCTGATTCAGGCCGGTGCAGAGATCGATATCAAGCGCATTGATGGCGCCACGCCCCTTTGGATAGCTGCCCAGATGGGCCAGGATCACATATGTAAGGTGCTGCTGCAGAATGGAGCGAATGTGGACACAGTGCGCTGTGATGGTGCCACTCCGCTCTTCAAGGCCGCCCACAAGGGTCATGCGGCGGTCATCACAGTTCTGCTCAAATACCGCCCCAATCTCGGCCTGCTGCCCAACGGAGAGACGGCGCTGCATGCGGCGGCCATGTTCGGTCACATGACTGTCTGTAAGCAGCTGGTTGGAGCCGGCAGCGATGTGCTGATGAAGAACCAGGAGGGACTGACGGCCCTGCAGCTGGCGCACCAACAGAAGTACACCTCCATCTGTGATTACCTCCAGGAGCGGGTCCGGACGATGGTGGCGCGCAACACAAAGGCGATGGTCTCGTCCGGAGTTGGTTCCACAATACCGACGATGTCGGCGTAAGGGGATGTTCACGATACAGAGACCATGCCTCCCAAGTACCTTTATGCACAATACGTTGGCCTTTTTGCTTATGTTGAAACAGAAGGAGAAGCGACAGAGGGAGACAGAGTGTGTATGGCAGAGGTGACCACGTAGTGACAGCGGGGATCCCCCACAATAATTTGGGGGAAAACCAGGGATATGGATTGGCGATGAATTGAATTGACTTAGGATCGATTCTTCAGTGTCCATTAAGATTAACCACTACGCTAACTGTCAGTGAATTCAATTTGATTCATGAATCTGTGGAATATTAACAGAGGAATATTAACTGCTAACTAATAGATCGGTTAACTGACAGTTTTTAACGTAAATAATAATTTTTTCTGAACACATATGAAAATCATTTGACTATCGAATATGTATGAGGAATATAAACCTAACTTTAAATTTACTGCTTACTGATTGCTCTGTTAACTGACAGTTTCTACCCTTACTGATTATTTTCTCGAATAGAAAAAGCTTACCCTTTCTATATGAAAGATAACGGAAACAAGAAATAAAGGAAACAAGACTCACTGTCAAAACTGCGATTTAATATCTTATTTCTGTGTTTAAAAGCTATATGTTATTCTTTAGCGATCTAACAAGTTACAAGAAAGAAAACCTATCGAATATCGAATATCGGTAATTTCAGGTTAATCCTAAAATGTACTTTATCGATTTTACAAAAGTCACCAAGGAACAATGGAGTATTTATTAAAGATATCCATATCCCCACCAGTTGTGTTGCTTGTAATGTCATAAACACTCAATCTCAAAACTAATTATCCAAATGAAAAAAATCCACTAGTACGAACACGTCCAAGCTAAACTAAATGGCAAACCCCATGAAAAGCAAACTATATATAAATAAATATATATATATATATTAGATAATCGTATCATCCATATTAACAACCACTTGGAGCTTGTATTTTGAATTTAAACATTAACCATAACAATAATGTTAGCTATTATAAAGAATGTTAACATGGACCCAGAATGATAATGTTACAATGTCCCCTGTACATAACCATTAATATATATACACACACATACTAATATTTAATTATGTATATTTGAAACTATTTATAGTCCTACATTATCCCTAAGCAATTGTTGACAAGTGCTTTACGTTTAAACGCCTTTTTGTCCCTAAATTAGCTATTAATTATAGTAACACTCAATGGGTTTTGCTTATATTTTTTCTGTAAACTAGATACGACAATTAATTACTTCCTTACTTTATTACCATTTAAGTGTAGCCCACAAATTTTTGCAAGTTTAATAAAATGACACACATGATTACTGCATAGTTGTTTCCTCTTAATTTGGATGAAAAGGGACGTTAAAACCCAAACATTTTAAAGATTTCCTATATAAGAAAATAATGGGAAAATTAAAGGCATCCAAAAAAGAAAAGGGAGGGCGTGTATTAGCGATTTATAAAATATGTGCCTGAAAGTATGCTACTTATTGTTTTATCTAAAATATTTGTTTTGTTGAAAAGATACACCTTTTAGTGGTGTTTTATTTGTACTATTTATTGATATTAATATTATCAATTATCATATATATTTTATGGTTATATATGTTTAGGGTTTGTTAATTGGTTTCACCAAAACAATAATTGTTGTGCTTAATTCTTTTCCACGATAATTATTCAATTATCTTACTCGAATAATATTCTACTTATAGCTTGATCGGATTTATTGCTTTTATTCCTTAGTTTTACCCACGAAATATTACGGTTACATATATCTCTTTAAGGATCTATATATGTATCTGTCATTTACAAAGTATTCTTTTCTTAAAACTTATATTTAAACAACTGTTTCATTATAAACCTACATTCAAACCATTTGATCCGAGCCAGTCGTCGTCTTTGCCACTCAGTCGATTGACAAACGCATTCGGATTCAGTTCGAGCTGAACAACATATTGTCTCAGAAAGTTTTGACGTAACATAATGGTAAACAACCGGAGATTAGAGGCAAAACCAACTTGCTATTGATTCAAGTGAACTTCAAGCATTTCCAGTTGAAAGGGAAATTTTAAGTGACCTAAAATATATTGTTCCTTAAGTGAAAAGATGTCCAGCACAACTCTTTTGACCCGGTCTCTGCTTACAGAAGGTATTGTAGTTGTCATTTATAAGGAGGTTAGGATCTATAATCTAGGCTCCCACTAATATTCTGTTCTACTTGTAGCTCCTCGATCGAAAAACCGTTCCATATTCACTCTCATTGTCGGTTTGGTGGTCGGCTATTGCCTGGCGGTGCTTTTCTCGAGTGTCTCGCCCCAAGAGAGCCTGTATCCTTACTTGAGTCAGCGCCTGCGCAGCCCTGTGAGCTTACATGCTGAACAAGGACACCTCGATGGGGCGGAGGCACCTGAGCACGATCCCTTCCAGCACGATCATCCCGATGACAACACCACCGTGGCCGAGCATCTGAAGCGGGAGGTGCGCATCCTCTGCTGGGTAATGACTAATCCCACCAACCACAAGAAGAAGGCGCGCCACGTGAAACGTACGTGGGGCAAGCGTTGCAATATCCTGCTGTTCATGAGCTCCGGCAAGGACGATAACCTACCCACGGTGCAGCTGAATGTGGGCGAGGGCCGCGTGAACCTGTGGGCCAAGGTTAAGGAGGCGTTCAAGTACGTCTACCAGCATCACTACAACGATGCCGACTGGTTCTACAAGGCGGATGACGACACGTATGCGGTGATCGAAAATATGCGCTACATGCTCTACCCGTACAGCCCCAAGACGCCCGTGCACTTTGGCTTCAAATTCAAGCCATTTGTGTCGCAGGGCTATATGTCCGGCGGTGCTGGCTACATTTTAAGCCGGGAAGCACTGCGTCGATTTGTGGTTGAAGGGATACCCAATCCGAAGATGTGTCTGCCGGGCACTGTGGTCAACGAGGACATCGAGATTGGTCGCTGCATGGAGCATCTGAATGTGACGGCCGGCGACTCCAGGGATATGATGGGACGTGGAAGGATGTTTCCGTTTGTCCCTGAACATCATCTTATACCAGCCAAGTGGAACAAGGACTATTGGTATTGGAAGTACCTCTACTACAAGACGGATGACGTAAGATACTATCTTCAATCTTAATCTGATCTTTAATTATTTCAAGCCAATCCAATACCAATCGTACAGGGTCTTGACTGCTGCTCGGATCTGGCGATTTCCTTTCATTATGTGGCTCCAAACATGATGTATGTCCTGGACTATCTGATCTATCACCTGAAGCCGTACGGCTTAATGCGATCACTGGAATCGTTGCCTGCCAAGCTCGAGGTGGGCCAATTGCTTCCTGCTCCCATTGAAAAACCGGCGGCCAGCAATGAGGACTCTGTGGATGATTATGACAGGATTTACACGACAACAACTACTGAGAAACCTAAGGAGCCCGATGCCCGGGAAATGGACTCGAAGGAAGTAGAAAAGGAAGAGTCTAAGTACAGGGAAAAGGAATTAAAAGAGGCAGACTATGAAACAGAAGAAAGGGATGAGGAAACAAAGGAAACTGACGAGGACGTGAATGAAAAGTCTGAGGAGAAGTCACGAAAAGAATAGAATAGAGCATATTAGTTATATAAAATGGTTGTATATAAGAAGATGTTAACAAAATCTAATTAATATTTCAGTCTTTTTTCATTGGCTACAAAAAATTTTATCAGGTGTAGTACATACTTAGGTATAAGTTCTTATTTATATGGTCAAATTAAAAGAACTTAAATTTATACAAAAGTAAATGTTGAAGATGTATGTTAAGCAAATGTTTTCAATGGTTTTATAGTTATTTTTCAATGATCCGCTGTTATCAATGATTATCAATAAGTTAAGAGATCAGAAGAGCTTCTCTTCATAAATTACAGAAGAAAACAATCATTAAACATTCTTTCGATTTAGGAGCTGTTTCCTGTTGTGAGCCATGAGACATTTCTATATTCAACTGGAGCCAATAACATGGAGTTTCTCTTTTTGGATACACTGTTTGAACTCATAGATCTTATCCAGACCGAAATAAAATCCTTCGAAGGAAAACGATGCCAAGATGCAGAATGCAGGGAAATGCACGATTCTCTTTCACCCAGGATCCTAGTTTATTTTGTGATGGCGGAGAGGTCAATAAGGATACTTGGTTGGGCGTTGGAGGATCTTAGAGAGGATACGGATAGGGTGTTTTGAGTGAGCCAAGTAAGACGTCTCAGCAACCTATGCGTATCCCAAGTTAAAAATTTTGATTATTCTTTGTTCATCAATTAACAAAATTACTAAGCATATCTAGGTTTGTTAACAAACTATATACATACATTCATACTATACATTTTTCAATTGTTACCCGCAGATCCTTTAGATATGTCTACATGAAATCCAGCAACCACAAACAGGTTGTTTAGGCTGTGCTTTATAATTGGGACTATTTAAAGAATAATTTTCCCTAAGGTGAATAATTCATAATTTCTTTTGATGTCATTATTTATGATTACACAATTTATTGAGCATTCTCGGAATATAGTCTTGATAAGCTTGGGAGGCTGTCGGAGAGCATACTCCACAGATCAGTACGGCAACCAAGTGATAGCATTTCCTTCCACAAACATAAACCCAAAGAGCGGATGTCATGGTATGAGTGGTGATCGCTGGTATAAATTGTGGAAACACTGGCACTGCTTCAGTCACTTCAAGATTTTCTTCGCAGTCTTATAAAATGACACGGCAGTGGATCATAGGAGCTGTTCTCTTGGGCTGCGTCCTTTTAGGCAAAGCGTGCAATATTTCGGACAAGTGCGTTCTTAAGGACCTTTGCGCAGTAAAGGCGCCTGCATTTAGCTACCGACTTAACTACCGATCATCATGTAGTGATCCTTACGTTTGCTGTGAGGAAATCAAAGTGGTAAACAAAGTTTTAGTATCATTTTTCTAATTTCTTAATTTTACCAGGACAAGAATGAATCAGCAGATGATGGGGGTGCCAAAACTGATGCTCCACAAGTCGAAGGTGGCGAGTGCGGCCTAAGCAATATTAATGGTCTTGACGCGAACGCTCTAGTATTGGCAGGACAGGCACGGGTTGGGCAATTCCCATGGACAATTGCTCTATTTAGCAACGACGAATACCTGGGTGGCGGTTCCCTAGTCGCCCCAGGAGTTGTGCTCACTGGCGCCCACTTGTTGCGCGGAAAACAAGAGGCCGATATTGTGGTCAGAGCTGGAGAGTGGGATCTATCCAATGCTAGGGAGCGGTTCCCCCATGAGGAGAGCAGAGTGCGAAAGATCGAGCGTCATGAAGAATTTGAGTACTTGACTGGAGCCAATAACTTGGCACTTCTCTTTTTGGAGACACCATTCGAAATCCAAGAGCATATCCGGACCATCTGTTTGCCCAAGGAAGAAAAGTCCTTGGAGGGAAAACGCTGCAAAGTTGCCGGTTGGGGAAGACGTTCGTACTCTGAGACGCGTCACTCGAACATCCTGAAGAATATTGAGTTGCCGTTGGTAAATTATTCCACCTGCCAGGGACAGTTGAGGAACACCAAGTTGGGTCCCAGTTTTAGTCTAGCTCGTAGTTTAATTTGTGCCGGCGGCGAGGTCAATAAGGATGCTTGCCTGGGCGATGGCGGATCTGCCCTGTTCTGTGCCCTCGAAGAGGATGCGGATCGCTACGAACAGGTGGGCATCGTCAACTGGGGCATTGAGTGCGGCAAAGAAGATGTCCCGGGAACCTACACGAATGTGGCCATGTTTAAGGACTGGATTGATCTAAAAATCCAGGAATCCTTGGAAAAGTAGAATGAAATGGATAACAGGAATAGCTCATAAACAAATCTATTAGAATTTAAATGGTCGAAATAATGCTATATATCCTAATAAATTGATGTGAATAAAATAAGTCAGAATTTAATGGTTTAATAGTCGCTCGAAACAGTTTATAACTACGAACATTAATAAAAGCTTAAGTCTTCGAATTAAAGAGTATTATTAAAAAATTTGTAAATAATATTTGTATATGTATGTATTTCACTTTTTTGGAGTTTAAGAATTGTTTTGATTGGTAAAATAGGAATAATGGAATGTATTAAGTGTTCATTTTTCATGTGCTGTATAAAGTATGTGGCTTGATGTGTATTATTTATATTTTTCAATGGAATACATTTGCAATTCGTGGAATATGGTCGTTCAGAAGACGAAGATAAGACTAAGTGGGATCTGATGTTATACGGCTTAATAAACCGATGTTTAATGTTTATATCTTTTTGGGCTCTTGAAATGTATACTGCAACTAATTTTCCTTATAATTACAGATATACGTATGTTTAGACGGTCTTCAAGGTCTTCCTTATCCTTAAGCGGTATATAAAATAAAATATATTTCTGTATAGTTTATACATTCTAGAGTTGATAATATTAATGGATTTACTAGACATGATTCTTTTGTATAGCTTAGAATATTATTTATAGTTATTTGCTATAATTTATATTTATATTTTCCTGGAATGATGATGTATGTATGTTTCAAGCTGATAGCAAAAGACTAGCTTCTTATCAAATTTGTTTCATTTTTGTTCGGAATAAAACGAGCAGAATACACTGCCGCTTTGTGATTCAGTCGTTACGCCAAGAATGTCGCAAAATTTGTATATATTAATTGCTTTCTGCTGGCTTTTGTGTGGTCTGCGTGCCTCCAGGATGCCCTGTGGTCATAAGAGGGAGTGTGTTCCAAATGCGCTTTGCCGAGAAGCAAACTCCAGCGTACCGAATCCATGTCAGAGGGCAGAAATTTGCTGCCACTCTTCCCAAATAGTGAGTGTTTAAATTCAAATGAAACCCATATTAATCAAGTAAAGATCATTCACAGACCAGTGTCGGTGCTCCATTGCACTGCGGTCAGAGCTATCCAAATGGACTGTACAGCCAGCAGCAAGTGGCTACTAATCAGGCACATCCTTACGAGTTTCCCTGGATTGTGGCGTTCTTTGAGCGGCAAATATTTTTGGGTGGCGGCTCCTTGGTCACCGAGAATTGTGTGCTGACCGTCGCTCACCTGCTGGTCAACAAAACAAAGGAGTCGTTGGTAGTCAAAGCTGGGATTTGGGACTTGACTGCCCCTAACAGCCGCTATGTGGAGCAAAGGAGAGTGGCACGGATCGTTCTGCATTCGGAGTTTGAGTACTTCAGGCAGTCTGGGGCAAACAACTTGGCGCTGATCGTCCTAGAGTCTTCGTTTCAGGCGAAACCTCACATCGGATTCATCTGCCAGCCCGTCCCAGAGGCGACCTTTGATCACCAACGCTGCTTGGTATCCGGTTGGGGTAAACTTACGCAAAAGGATACGGAGCTTTCGCACCGTCTAAAGAGAGTTTCCCTGTCCATTGTGGATAGGGCTACGTGCCAGGTTCGACTGAGGAGAACAAGCCTGGGCAGGGAATACCAGCTCCATCCCAGTTTAATCTGCGCGGGCGGAGAGAGGGGCAGGGATGCCTGCAAGGGCGACGGCGGATCTCCATTGATGTGTCCCATAGCCGGGCATCCCACGCAATATGAGTTGGTTGGCGTTGTCAACATTGGCGTGGGATGCGGTCAGCCTGATGTACCTGGTCTATACACTAGCGTTGCACAGTTGAAGCCGTGGATAGACAATGTCCTAAACGATGACACAAATTCGGCTTTCAAACCATTTCCCACATACGATGTAATATTGTAATGATCTGCTTCAAACGATGAGAAGTTAAGCTTACTGAAGATTCCTAGTTGCTGTTTCCGTATAATAATAATAATTAAAAAGGTCTATAAAGTTTTTTATTAAGAAAAATTCATTAAATTAAAAGTGATGAAGTTTTTAGTTAAATATTTGTTTTAACTATTGAAAAAACAAGTAAGAAAGCTATTGTTGAGTGTGATCGACTGTGGGATACCCGGTACCCATTACATGTTGCGCAACAATCACAAAATGCTGATGTTGCTAGGGACATGTTGAGCAACATCCATTATTTACTAAAGCGAATGTTGCAGTAAATGTTTTACACAGAAACTCAAATAACTTTCATGTTAATTAACTCATCGGTGTAATTATACTGCAACTTTTTATTTATTTATTATACCTTAGTTTCTAATATAATTTGTGCGTAATGTATTTCGGAAAATTTAAATTTACCAATGATTAAGTATTGTAAAATTTTTGAAATATCAAAAATAATAATATAAAAACTATTTAATAAAAAAATAATAAATAATAAAGTTATTCCAGGTTTGATTTTTTTAAAATTTACTATAGAAATAAGAGAAAACAAGAAGAAAACGATTAACAGAAGAAAATATGAAACAAAAGATGCACATTCGAAATCATATATAATTAATCTTAATCGCAGTCATAATAAGCTTTCTTGGGAATTTCGATTATTAGCATTAAATCAGAAGCCATACCGATTAAAGATTTATGAGGTTAAACATATACTTATATTAATTAATTGCTCAGATTACTGAATGTTTCTTTGTTTTGGAACTTTTTGTACACTGGAATACATATAAAACATATGCTTCAAATTCCTGTGAAGGATTAGGGGGAATAGAATAATTATACGAGTTTTTTAACGTTTATAATATCAATATTAGTATATTTAATAATTGCTTTATTGATTAATAGTAACTGAGTAACATTTGCAAAATATTTTGTTTTAAACTGACAGAATTCGAATTTCTTATAAAATAAGCCATTTTCCGATGGAAGTTATGAAAAGGTTCCTGGCGGGGTTTCTCTGGCCATTGTTCCTATCAACCTTGATTTGGTTGGTTATACTCGAGGAATTAATGTTCTACAATAGCACTGCCTGTGATAAACTCAACGACTTAATTTTTGAGCCATATAAGGAGAATATACATGAATTTCAAGTGGGATTCCGTAGTCAGCGTTGGGACGACGATCGTATAGCAAGGCTCCTTGAGCAGCAGATCCGTGTACATTGCCTGGTTTATTTGGATGTGTCGGACTTCAATCGGGGTCCTCGAAAGTTGGAGCACATCCGTAGTACCTGGGGTCGGCGCTGCAATCGCCTGTCCACCATCAATCTCTGGGAGATTCCAATAACGGAGGCCTACCGCCGCATCTTCAGGGAGTTTCGCCATGAGCTCGACTGGCTTCTGGTTGTCTATCTGGACTCTTTTGTGATTGTGGAGAACCTGCGTTACCTGCTGGCTCCCTATTCGCCCAACCGTGCCATTTATTTCAATGCCCAGCATTCCTTGTTCGTGTACGCCCATGTGGGTCAGATTCCCAGCACCGATTACATTTTTAGTCGGGAGGCCCTGGAGCAGCTCTCTACCAGAAACTGCCTGCACGATGAGTTTTCCCTCAAGGAGTGCCTTGGAAGAATGGAGCATGGTCCCAGCGATGCTCTCGTGGAGTTCAACGTTCCGGATGAGCTGGTACCCTTTACACTGCGCCAAATGTTTTGGCTGTGGCCTTGCGCCTTCCAATCCGTTTACGGAAATCAGGTGAGCATTGAATTAAATTAATTCAATTAAATTCTTTATAAAATCTGTAAAGGTTAATTCCATTCTGAATGGTTTCTCCTGAAATGCAGAGCTGGAACAGCTGCTTTGGCAGATCAGTCCTGTTCCCTTATGTGACGGCAGGGCAGATGGAAGTTCTGGAGTATGTGCTCTATCATCTGAGACCGTACGGTTATGTGAATCCCCTCTTGGAGCTAAAGTCTTTGAGAATAGCATCAAGACCGCCCAATAACATTGTGGCCCGTCACATGTTTCAGTCCATAAGGATATTGTGCCTGGTACTAACCTGGCCCAAGGAATACATGCACGGTGTAAAGTCTATCAGTGAGACCTGGGGACGTCACTGCAACCGGGTGATATACTACAGCAAATCCAGACTAAGTGGCGTGCAAGGAGCAGAGACCGTGGCCCTGAATGTCAGCGATGAACGCAATAAGCTTTGGGGCAAGACAAAGGCCTCTTTCAGACATGCCTACGAGCATTATGGCCACGAAGCCGACTGGTTCTACAAGGCCGATGACGACACCTATGCCATTATGGAGAATATGCGTCTGATGCTTCGACCCTATTCTCCCGATACTCCCATTTACTTTGGATCTACCTTCAACTTAAGTTCGGAAATTTATATGTCCGGAGGAGCAGGCTATGTCCTGAGCAGGAAAGCAGTAGAGCTGTTCGTTAATGCGACAGGTGAGAACTCAGTCTGCGAACCCGGGGCTAGTGGTACCGAGGACTTTGAAATGGGCAGGTGCATGGAATTACTTAAGGTGAAAGCCGGCGAATCTAGAGATCTATATGGACGCCATCGTTTCTTTTCGCTTTCTCTGCAGTACTTTCTCATAGCAGAGGACAATGATGAATTTTGGCTGTCTTTATATCTGGTTCATAGATGCAAAAAGGTGAGTGTACCCATTTGTTGTTGTATTTACAAACTAGCAACCCCTGACCCGATATATATATTAAATTATATTTATATTCTATAGAATACTAGTCTCAGTTATAAAAGTATTTAAATAAAAATAATGTAATGTATTTTAATATATAGTTCATCTTGATATGATGACTTATACTATTGTTCATATTATTTACATTCATATTAATAAACCAAAATATTTCGCAGGGCAGGGAGTGTTGTTCAACATATTCGATTTCGGTGCACAATGTATCCCCGAATGAAATGCACTTTCTGGAAACAGTTTTGTATGAATCGCGACCTTATGGCCTCATTGCTGGACATCCTCCGTCAAGGAGTTCGCGAAAGAAGAGGTCACAGTCAGGGCATTTGTGATATATTTTTGCTATATACCTTAATATAATGAAATTCAATATTTTCTTATAATTTTAATTTGTATAAATATATAGGCTGTCAAGGATATAATTAAATTTAACTTGTTCGTAGTCTTTGGCATTGTTTTTGTCAGTCACTTTCAAAAGTAAATTATTTATCTGATTGCGAATCATCCATTGACTTTGGCTTGTAATTGGCTTTTGTTTGATTTCATTTTACTTGGAACCATTTCTTCCGTTTGGGAACTGTGTCTAGTTCCTAAGGCATCCATATAGGACTTCTTCGGAGACGTGTACTCCTGCCCTTTGTTGATGCCAAAAGATTTTAGATTGTAAATTATATAGTCCAGGACATAGAACTCCTTGGCATTACCGGAGCGAAAGGAGATGGCCGAATCGGAGCAACAATCGTTAGAATCCTGTGTAAAATACGTAAACATAAGCTTTTGTTTATACTAGAAGCAGCTCTTTAGTTAGCCTTACATTTGATGTAGTGTAGTTTCGATGGTCCTGGTGCCAGTGCAGGGGCGAGAAGGGTATGAAGCGGCTTAGTCCCTGCTCGTCCTGGGAATCCCCGGCCACCACACCCACCGACTGCATGCAGCGTCCAAGCTCTATGTCCTCGAATCCTATGTTCAGGTTGCTGCAGATACTACTGTTATCAAAGGCGTACTTCATGAACTTATGCAGAGCTGCCTTGCTTAGAACATATTTCCCTCCGCTTGAGATTTTACTCTATATAATACACAAGCAATAATTTATTTCGATCAATCTTTATAGATCGAAGAAAAAGCATTTACATACCTGTGTAACATTCTGGTGTAATTTGTTTCCAAAGTAAACTGGTGACTTTGGGCTGTAGGCATATAGAAAAGCCCTCAGATTTTCCATTACCACATAGCTAAAATTAAGGGAAGATAGGGAATTTATATAATTTTATTTTTGCTCGTTCTCACTTACGTTTCATCGTCAGCCTTTAGGAACCAGTCATAGTCCTTGAAATGGTGCTTGTACACGTATTCCAGGGAGGCCCTCGTTTTACCCCAAAGGTTAGAGTAACCCTCCCTTACATTAAGCGCCACGGCACCCAGCTCCTTGTCCTCCTTCGTGCTCAAGAAGATCAGTTTGTGACATCGTGTGCCCCAGGTCCGCTGGATGTGAACGGCCCGGCTTTTATGAGCCTTAGGACTGGTCAGAACTAGGCACAGGACACGGGGCTCATTTAAGAGGCGGGCGGCCAATTGAACTGAGTCTTCGGTGATGATGAACGGCGTGGTCAGGGGTGATAAATTCGGTGGTGGATAAGGGCCATACGAGCTGCTCCTCCCAATACTAGGAAAGAGGCGGCTGGTGGCTTCTCCATTTATTCCCTGATTGTTTTTAAATGCTCCATGCCAGCGATTTCGCCGCATTAACTCTGATAAGAGGATGCCCCAGGCGAGGCCGATGAAGACCATCAGAACAAGCTCAATACGCTTCCGATACTGCCGCATTCCAATCATTATGTTGGTAACTATGGAAGTAAAAAGTTAGGTAAATACACAAGAAAATTATTTTAAGCTGAATTTTTTAACTTATTCTGCGACGAAATAAAGCCAACCAAAATGTAACATAGTTACTCTATAAACGTTTTCATTAAAATACAAATTAAATGTTTAAAATCTGATAAATTTACGAAGTACATAAGGAAGGATCAGAAACTTTCTCAGCTGAATTAAACAGGTAGCGTCTATGTCAAGAGCATTCTCTATTGTTAAGAATGCTTTATTTTTACTGGATTTTAATAATATCTTATTTCCTTTCACATATACACATATAATGGAGAATTCTTTTCTAAGAAAAATCCGACTTTGTATATTGACTGGCATTAGCTTGCAAAACGAGCAAGTCTTTATAATATAACACTTCATTATGTATCACTTTAAAAACCAGAACACCTTCATTTGGGGAATTACCCCACATTTAGGGAATTACGTTATAAACCTACTCCACATAGGCTTTTTTGTGAATTTGAATACTCGTCACTCTCTCAAACCGTTGGCAATATTAAACCGATTTTGCTTTGATTATTCCTATCTTTTGTGAAGCATCTTCATCTTATAAGCCGCATTTGTTTACTTTTTTATGCAAATCTCGTGTCGTCCGGCAGCAAGTGGCCGCTGTCGCTTTATAGGCAGGCCGTGGTTGTTGTCGAAATACCGAATTAACACATTCTTGAGGCAGTGACGCAGACGCGAAAGCTTGTAAAGATGCGGTTGACCTTCGGGCACACGCTCAGGTGCGCAGGTGCGACCGGTACGGGTACGGAGTATGTCAGAAATTGTTTAAGTTCACTTCGAATCGCAATTGCTGAGTTATAAATGGCAATTGCCTTGCCTCTTTGATGTTTTTGCAAGACGTTGCAATCGCATTTGGATCGTTTCGAATCGTTGCCTTCTGTCACTTCTTCAATGTTTCATTTGCAGATAGCTTTTCACTTTGTTTACTGCCGGTACTCGTACAGAATTTCGAATGGAGGCCCTCGATGGAGTGGCAATAAATGCGGTTTGGAACGCGACTTGAAGCCCAAAACAAAAAATAAACAAAGAGCCAGGGCCAAAATGAATGAAAAAATACAAAACAAAACAAGTAAGCACCGAGCAACGGAATAAACACTGACGTCTTCGCTCTTTGCCGGCAGTTGACAGACTTGGCTTAAATGGGCGCGTCGGAAATGTTGTTGGAGAAATACCTTAACGCTTGTTCGGGCACAATGTTGCCAGATTTTTTGTTTTTTAATTTTTATGAAAGCTAGATTTAAGGATAACTCTTAACTCTTTGTTTTCAAGTTATACATATTATCGAATTTTAGGATTTTAACTTAAAAATTTTTATAAATTGTGTATGAAAAATTACTCAACACAAATGACTAACCACTTAAGAGACAAATTCTATCCTAATAGAAAATCCTTGTTCGCTTGTTGGGACACAATGTTGCCAGATTTTAAGTTGTTTAATTATACCCTTGCAGGGTATTATAATTTCAGTCAGAAGTTTGCAACGCAGTGAAGGAGGCACCTCCGACTATATAAAGTATATATATTCTTGATCAGGATCAACAGCCGAGTCGATCTAGCCATGTCCGTCTGTCCGTCTGTCCGTCTGTCCGTCTGTCCGTCTGTCCGTCTGTCCGTTTCTACGCAAACTAGTCTCTCGGTTTTGAAGCTATCTGAATGAAACTTTGCAGTTAGTCTTCTATATACTCTCACTCGTATATATGTCGGAACGGGCCGGATCGGACGACTATATCATATAGCTGTCATAGGAATGATCGGAAAAGTTTTACAAAAAAAATTATAAAATTTTTAGTTTTCAACAGAATTTGATCAAATTTGAGATATAGCCATTTCATATTATTCTACAATTTTGTGTAAAATTTTATGAAAATCGGACTAATATATCATATAGCTCCCATAGGAACGATCGAGAAATTTGAGAGGAATGAGAATGGCGGTGGCTGTTGTCGGAAGACTGACAATCGCGGTGGCGATAACATTTTCAGTTTTCAATAGAATTGGATCAAATTTGAGATATAGCCATTTTACTATACTCTACAATTTTGTATAAAATTTTATGAAAATCGGACTACTATATCATATAGCTCCCATAGGAACGATCGAGAAATTAATAAAATTAAAAATTATAACTTTTTCAGTTTTCAACAGATTTTCATCAAATTTGAGGTGTAGCCATTTTATATTAGTCTTAAATTTTGTGTCAAATTTCATGAAAATCGGACGACTATATCATATAGGTGCCATACAAACTATCGTTTGATGTAGAAGAAAAATGGAAATCTGTGAATGAAAAGCTGCAAATATAATATGTATAGGTGAATGAAATGAAAGCAGGTATTACTTCATTGTTTTTTAACACAAATATATATAATTTATATGGTATGGATTCCTAGTCATAGAATTTCTATCTGCAAGGGTATATAAACTTCGGCGTGCCGAAGTTAGCTTCCTTTCTTGTTTTTAATTCAATCCAGATTTGTGGAGGGTTAACTATTTTTTTTTTAAGTTATAGATTTTATAGAATTTCAGGTTTTTAACTTAAAAAATTGTATAAATTGTGTATGAAAAATTACTCAACACAAGGGACTGTAACCACTCAATAGAAACTTTCTATCCTGATTGGATATAAAATACACAACGGTTTTTAAAATCCTTACGAATTTTTGCAAATTTTATATATTTTATTTTTTTTTATTCATTTTATATATTTTTTTATTATTGTAAATGAATAAAGTTTTTATTATATGATTAGTATACTTTACCATGGTGTCAGCTTAATTTTTATATATTATATTTTAATTGCTACTTAAAGATAATAATATGTCTGAATAATTGAGTTAGGAAGGAATATTAAGTATTATTATTACCTCAAATATATTGCATACAGAATTTTACGGTATTTAAACTAAACACAAAAATATTAAATATGCTGCGAGTTCAGAATACTCTATAATTCATTTAAAATAATTAATTATTGCCTCCACATCGAAATATTTGTTACGTCATCAAAGTTGCAACATTTTCTCTTGCACTTTTGAAAAAAAAACTTTAACCTTTAACGAGAGTTGGGGAAAAACAGCAAAGCCTTTTATGTTGTCAACTCTTCGTTTTTCGCAATAAAAGGCTTTACCTTCTCTAGAGTCGTGAAAATGCCGGTGGAAAGCTCTTTTAGAGCTTCAAAACCATTAATTTCAGCCCGAAACTTGACAACGTTATTTTTTTATAGTGTTTTATTTTTATTTAATTAGAAAACTAGTAGTAAATGAAGTACGATGAGTGAATATACAAGGAGCACGTAGCCAAACAACAGGACTCAGGCGTAGGGACCGCCGGAGGAGTCCAGTCCCCTGGGAGCATTGGCATAGCTATCCTCTGCGAACGTATTGGTTACTCCCGATCCCGAAGCCGAACTGGATCCAGATTCAGATCTCGATCCCGACCTAATACTAGACTGGGAGCCGGAGTTTGACTCCTGGAGTGTTGCTCCCGACGAACGCAGGATATTCTCAGACTTCGAACGCTCATCAAGGGCCACCAAGGGAGTAGCTTGAGCCACCGGAACAACCACTGTTTTCAGGGCATATGGCACTCGATTGACCACAGCATTGAAGCCGTGGACATCATCCGCCGTGTAGGTCACGGTGCGCTTGTAGCCATCGGGATCGATGAGACTGTAGAAGCCACGCACCACATAGCCATCTCGGGTCTCGCTATGCTCCTTGATGTCACCGGTGGACTCATCGTTCACGGCATAGTTGAAGCTGTAGCTGGCGGGGGAAAGACCTCCGGTTCTTGGTGCTGGCGGAGCACGGGCAACGGCGAGGGAAGAAGGACCGATGCGACATTGTTATCCGCATTGGCGTCCTTAGCGGCATTGACGGCACTGGCCGCATTCTGGAGAAGATTCGAGGCCTGAACACTGGCAGTACGGCTGCCGGCGGAGAATTGATTCCGGCTGGGTGTTGCATAGTCGTAGCCTTCGGGTGTGGCCTCCGAATTCAGGGCATTGTTACTGGGCGTGTGATAGTCACTGAGGAAATCCTCGCCAGAACTGGATCCAGAGTGCTCCAAGGAGTTGATGGCTGTGGCCGCCTTCTCGTTGTAGTTGTACTCCGCTTGGGCAGCAGAGAAGAGTGCCAGGGACAGCAGGACAAACAACTGAAAATTGATCAATGAATTTTGGTAATCAATCCTATAAAGAAGCAAGGATCATGGATGCCACCTCACCTTAGCTGTCATCTCTGAATAATTTGGATACTCCTTCCGTGCGAATGCCTCCACAAATTGTCGGGTGTAACTGTTGGCATAATTGAAGCGACTTGGAGTTTATATACCTCATCCCAATTGCAATTGGTTTATTACTCAATGAGACGCGTTATACAATGTCATGCGCTTCAATTGATCGATTTCCCATTGTGCGAAGCCATCACAATGTTTTGGTAACACTTTCATTTTCATTTTTGTTACAATTTTTATGCTGCGTAAGCGCAGACGAAATTGAATGATGATAGCTGTGTGTGACAATAATCAAATCAGAATTGGGGCACAACCTTGTGAAAAATATGATCTTTATTTATTACCTGTATGTTTATAATATTATCTTATTAAATATGTTTGCTAAATATATTTATTTATCAACGGAAAAACACTGTGTATGTCAGAGGAAAGGATCCTAGTTTATGAGCAGGAGAAAATATAGTTCAAAATATATACAAATAAAAATAAATACAGTCGAGTCCCGATAATTCGTAATGGCAAGGGGATCACTTTTTTTACGAATTAGACGGGAATTCGATTTATCGAGATTTCTATTTAATGGGGCTCAAAAATGAAAGAGTCGAATAAACGGGGTTTTTAATTAAAATTAAATTAAATTAAAATTAAACAAACATTATAAGCATGTACATTCATTTGTACGTTTTTCAAATTAAAGGAAAATAAAACCATAACATAAAATTATAGAACTAAAATTTAAACTATTAAGCTATTTAAGTTGAGAAATTAATGCTCTGGCTTGTAAATTCGTTAAAATTTCTTCTCCATCGGCGTCATCATCCTCGTCACTTTCAGAATTGTTGGGCAAAACTTCTTCCAAAATTAGCTTGCATTATAAACTCTTTTTTCTGTAGAATTGATGATATTGTTGATGGAGCGATATTGAATTGTTTTGAAATGCTAATGCATAGCGACATAAAGGCGGCATAGCTGTCGCATTACGATTTATAAGAGGTTACGAAACAAAATTACGATTTATAAGAGGTTCAATATTCATTGCGTTGCGCCAAATAATACGAATTAACGAGGGGACCAAAATGTATGGATTTTTTACGAATTAACGAGTTTTTTTCAAGGGGACAGAATTTTTTACGAATTATCGCGATTTTCGATTTAGCGGGGTACGAATTATCGGGATTCGACTGTAATACATTTTGTTTGAAATGAAAGTTTATAATAACCAAAACTAAAATATAACTCACAATATCTAATAGAAAATATTAAAGCATTTTATACAACGGATCGTTTCATCAACGGATCGTTTCATCACACAAGTATCGCAGCATTTATATATAGACTCTGATTTCCTGGAGGAATATTCTAATTATATTATCAGTCCCTTTTACAATACTAAAAATTATTTTTTATTGTAATTCAATTCATAATTAACATAAATAAATAGGTATAATATGAATTTTGATACTTTTTTACTTTTTAGGAATCTTAAAGACCAGATGATGTTTGATATGATATTTTTTCTAGAACAGTGGTTTACGCTATTAAGCCATTTATAATATTTAACCTTTAAATTCCCTGGAAGAAAGATTTTCACATAATATTTGCATCATCTATTTTAAGATAATTTATCATCTAAATTTAATTTATTAGGCAGGGTAGTGAAAACATAGAGAGTTCAATAACTACGCTTAATTATTACTAATAAATACTATTGGCATACTATAGATAAGGCTTCCAGACTGGTAATCCGCATTGGATGATTCGTACTTAAATAATAATCTCAACAGTTAAATCAACATCACTAATCTCCCACCGAATCACCGCCTTTTGATGGTTGTGATAAGAAAACAAAACAAACCGGTTGCTGGCTATAACTGCTTCCATGCTACTGCCTGATTTTGGCCAAAACAAAGCAATTGGCCAGCTGGTGGCAATCGGGAGTCGATCGTCGCGGAGAACACAACACAACGCGCAGCATGTCGGCCAAGATCAAGCTGCGTTCCCAACTGCACCTTCTGACGGGTTTCATCGCAGGATTCATTTGCGCCTTCGTCCTTCTTCTGTACGTCTACGATGTGAGCCGGGTTTCGCCCTGTTGGACCAGCTCCTCATCCTCCTCCTCCTCTCCAGTGTCCGTTGCCATGGACGCACTGTCCCGAACTGAAGTGCTCCCACCCGCCCGAATATTGTGCATGGTGCTGACCTGTCCGGAAAATGTGGAGGATTTGGCCCGAACTGTGTACGACACTTGGGGGAGGCGATGTAACCATCTGATATTTGTGAGCAGTGAGAATTATCAGCCGCTGGGCGTGGTCCAGGTGGTTGAAGCCAATGGTGGCGCCTACGAGGATCTGTGGAACAAAACCCGCGAGGGATTCCGACATGTTTGGGAGAACTTTGGACAAGACTTTGATTGGTTCCTCAAGGCGGATGATGATACGTGAGTGAGCCTGAAACAGGGATGCCCCTAAAGGGTCCTTTTATTTGCCTCAGAAAATCATAGGGTCTAGAAGGATCTAGGCTGGGCATTCCTGCTCTGAGAGTTGTGGTCTTGGAATTTTCTAACTTTTTCACCTCTACAGGTATGTCGTCATGGAGAATCTACATCACCTGCTGAGCGGTTTCGATCCGGATACACCCGTATACTTTGGCTACAAGATGACACGCTACAATGTGGTGAGTGATAAATGCTGATCATAACTCGACATTAACTTCCTCATTTGCTTATGTTGTGGTTAATAAGTGGCATAATCGATTTCATCTTGAATGCACAGAGAAAAACCATAGCTATCTAATGAAGAACTTAAGAAAGAAATAATTAAAATTCTATAGATGAAATACAGTATGTAAAATTATAATATTAAACAGATAAATCATTCTTAGTAACTACTAATTTTTAAGCATTTTTCTCTGTGCTTATTACTAATGCGGTAAGTGATCGACTTGAGCGTTAGTATAAGCGTCTAATTAACTACTCATCTTCCATGCTATTGTCGCTCGCTTCTCGAAACTGATTTGAATTGCAAATCTTCCATGAAACAGAGTTGGGTTAAGATCTTAAGCTTAGAGCAAAAGTGAATTATGCCTTCCGAGCTCAGCGGGATTGCTAAAGACGAAAACAGTTTGTATATGTCAAATTAATGTGAGAACATGCGTTCAAATTTTCGCACTTTTTTACTAAATGATAAATCGTGTTAAAGAGTTATTAAATCATTTTCATCAGTTATGAATACCTAATGCTTAACTTTGTATTTATTACTTAGATATTCGAACTTCTAATGAATCTCTTTGAACTTTCTTTTCGGGTTTTAATTTCGCTTCGATATCAATATGTTCTTTGTCCCAGTAACCGGTTCTTTTTTGTGAGTGTAATCCCATAATAATTAACAGCGATTTATTGGGCATTGTCTGTTGGTAAACAAACATTAAATCTATTATTGGCGGAGTGATATCATAGGGGCTGGCTGTTGCATATTAGTTAACTGATTGGCTGACCAAAAGCTACTTGTCTTGGCCTTTTCCGTGTGCATAGATCACTCGTAGATCGGACAATTCGACATTAAGAAATTAAATTCGCATTAACGATGCTGCAGTCTGCACAAAGCTAATGGCCGAGCTTCACCTGAGGTCATCGCGGTTACCTGTCACGCATCTCTCACAGCCGCGCCTCGTCCAAGATTTATTTCGCCTTTTGACATTTTGGTGCGTTGTGCAAGCTTCATGTTTCTCTTGACAAAGTACAAACATTTTGTCTGCATACGTTTGTACGCATAAATATAAACAAATGAGCTATGGAGGGTCGGTTTTATCTCAATGTGAATATAAATAAAAATATTTCTTTGTTTCTGCTTCTGCGTGTCTCTCAGACTTGGATATTCGTTTATCGGAGGCTAATTATTCCTAATGCATCATAAATGTTATAATGATTTCTGATTGATTGCTGTGAATATCTCCCTGACTATAGTTTACCGGGCTTTTGTTTTATCTTTTTGGGATTTTTAAGTCGATTAACATATTTTTTATGCTTGCATAAATTATGCATTTATTTTATTATTTTTGGGTGTTTGATGAGAACTCAAGTGTTTGATTTATGTATATTATGAATATTTATGTTTTAAAAAATACATTATGTTTTATGTCTTACTTATTTAGTTTTTCTGCCAGTGTATGGCAGTGATTTGATATAATTATACCTATTCTATTAGAGAAGCGGATAAATCCGACATAATCATAAGTCTTGAGTGACAATTTGCTAAATTTCATTATCATTTCTATTAATTTGGAAGCTTTGCCTGTTCACATTTCAACTTGATGCGTATTTTGACACTTCATTCCCTGCTGAGCGGCCTCTAAAAGAGGATTAAACACAGATTTTTGATTTTGGTTGTGGGTATGCTAAAAACCGAAGACCGTTACTAATATTTGGAATATCTTGGATACCACGTGGTCTTTTCGGAACTTTGAAGTGAATATTCATGCTCAAGGTTAATATTTTCATATTGGGCGAGACAGGTTTGCTTTAATTAAAACGGGGCGTGTGGAATATTAAACTATATGTTTAGTGTTACTAAATATAGAAATATCAAGCTACAAGGAGTAACAAATGGTTTATATATACTCTGTTTATTTACTTAAATTCCCAGAGTTATATGTCCGGAGGCGCTTCTTACGTTCTGAGTCGTGAGGCTCTGAACCGATTCATGACTCAGGCCTATGGATCGTCGGTGATATGTCCGGAGCCAAAGAAAATGGGTATTGAGGACTTTTACATGGGGATTTGTCTGCAAAATGTAGGAGTTCATTTCGTCGACTCGGCACAATCTCTGGATGGAGATCCCAAGCCCAAGTTTATGCCCTTGAATTTGGAGCACTATCTCGCGGACTCAAACTCCACCATTCCGGACTGGCTGCGTCTGATGAGTGTATCTCGAGTTGAAACTGTAAGTCCTGACCTATTTTCTCAGAACCTACAATTATTACTAATTTCCTAATATTCTTTTTTAGGGTTTGCGGTGTTGTTCCAACTATTCTGTGGCTTTTCACTACGCCAACCGTGAACGCATGTTCCTTTACGAGTTTCTAATCTATTATCTCCGAGTTTTTGATCACAACTTGAGTTCGGGAAGAAATCAGAGATATCTCTTAAATTCATCTGATTTAAACAGACGATTTCCACTGGAAGATAATTTGAATATAAAAGACTTGATACAAATGTCTGAGAAACCAGAGAATTTCTAGTTATTGTAGCGTGTTCTTATTTATGCCATTATTAGTTTAAGCATGCGATGTGATTTTAATTTAATTAAATAGGAAGCAACTTACCGGTTTTAGATTCGTAAAGGTTCTTTAGAGTTTGTTGGGTGGGTTGGTTGTGTATGTTTTTTATTTTATGGTGACAATACCAGCGACAAGATCGGTGGTTAATCAAAATATTATGTGGGAAATGCTTAAGTCATATGTTTTCTTTATATTTTAAGGAATATTTTTATTGATATGTGAGAAGTCATCCATTTAATTAAGCTGTTTTATTTATAAAATCATTGTATGTATGGCAATAAGCCAAAATCCGTTACTTCTTATTTGACACGAGTTTTACGTATAAATTCTAGCATACTTATGGGCATTGCCTACGAAAAATATTTTTGATAACATTTGGCCTTACAATCTGTTGAATGATTAAGAGCAAGCAATTAATAACAGTTTATGTATAAGGTAAAATATTTAATTTAGAAAATGTAATAGTTTTTTAATTAAATGCAGGAAATCAATGAAAATTTATGGGCTTCGGTCAAAGGATCTTTTATTAGTAAATATACAAAGCTGTTGTTGATCTTTATAGGCTTTTAAATATATTGACTGCTACATGATATAATCTGATTTTAATAAAATTCTATGAATTATTCTTAAATTGGGTTATAATTTCATTAAATTTGGCCATACATTTAATATTTTTAATTCACATACGGTTTACGGTTAACGGTTTTCTATACACATATTGTGAAGTTATTGAATTTATTACATATAGTAAAAATTAAAAAAAAAGCATATTTTAGATCATATGCAATGCATTTCTTAAAAATTATTGAAGTTATCTCGATTTGCATATTATATCCTGATTAATTTGTTGACTTCCTATGACAATTATATAATCTTTTATAATAATGGGAAGACTATGAAGACTATGTGCATAGTAAGTTTGTCTGTATTTATATAACTAAAAAACAAAGTGACTATAGTAGTAGTAGTAGTAGAAATGGGCAGAAAGACAGACAGTAAAAAGATATAATTTAAAAAACCATTGATATTTTGAATTAAGCCTAGTCCAAATAATTTTACTGTAACATTATGTTTGGTTATAAGTACATTTGTGGGGGAGAGCTGTTACACAATAATATTCTTCTATCTCCATCTTAGTCGCACTCAGGCCTAGCTTAGTCAAGTCTTGAACCGTGGTTCTACTGTAGGTTTTCAACTTGCTAGCTTAATATTAATTTTATTAGTACACTATTTCTTTAAATATTCATTATATAATGGAAATATAAAAATATATATTTTTCTATATGGTTTTAAGGCAGTTAATAATACTAAATTGTTTTACTCTATCTTATTCTATCTATTTCTTAAATAATAAAATAATAAATACTTCGAGTATTTAATATTATGTATTATAATTTCTCGAGTATTCTCCGCAATTTGTATTGAGCGAATGACGCATTGTCTTTAGTATATATTTTAAATATAATAAAGTTACCTTGCTAGTTATGCAGGTATTTAATTAACACTTTACGACTTCACAGAGTCCGACGAAAGGCTGAAGCTTTGCGAGCGAAAAGTGTCTGGTAATCCTTCATTGGCGGCATTCTTGCATGAAGGGCCGTCCGACTGAACTGCACGGGACTGTTTTTGCTTTTCATTACCAAAGTCAATGCCTCAGTCTCACCTTAATGCCGCCTCACCTGCCTCAGTTTAGCCGCAAAATTCAGCTGTTTCGTTGCCGAGCCAGAGTCGGTTAATTAATTCCGAAATCACGTACGCATGCTCAGTGTGTGTCAGTTGGCATTTTGCCATTTTGCCCCTTTCCTCCCCGAGATTCGGAGTTCGGAATGCCTTTGGAGATTGAGATGTTTCGCGAGACTCTTTATGGTAAAAGTTGCATTACAAATATCATAGATGGCACAATAAATTGGATGCTTTAGTGCTAGAAGCTAGTGAAAGGGAACTGGGAGCTTTACATTAATTTGTTGCTGCTGCTGCTGGTGCTGCTTCGCACTTACATTGTATCGTTGCTAGCCCGGCTTATAGTTAGGCATGAGCTCAGTGTGTTAATGGGTTAATACAAGCACTTGAACATAAAAGCCAAGCTCATGCAGGCCAGCACGTCTATTGAGGAAGCGAGTTCTCCGGCACTTGTTCAAACAGGGCGCTTAGCCGGTGCTGGGAGTGGGCCACAAGTGCACCTTGGAACTGCACTCGAGAGCCGTGCTATGGATATGGGATGGGTTCGAAATCGGAGTCGGTCTCATTTGGGCTCTAATCGCCTTTAATCGTTCAGGATGACTGTGGGAATTATTTATGGGATTCATACTCCTCATTTATATGCAGACATTTAAATATTAAGAAATATTATAATTTATCAGCTTCCTTTTATGACTTATGTTTTAAAATAAACAAGAAAGAAAGAAAACTGAGAAACTAGTTTGCGTAGAAACGGACAGATGGACAAACGGACATGGCTAGATCGATTCGGCTGTTGGTGCTGATCAAAAATATATATACTTTATATGGTCGGAGATGACTTGTTCCCTGCTTTGCAGACTTCTGATTGAAATTTTAATACCCTGGAAAGGTATATAAATATGTACGAAGTGTAGCTGATTTTGTCTTTTAAAATGCTAACTTATTAAATATCTAAAACTAATTATTTTCAAGAAAATTATTTTTAAACAAATTTAAAGAAGTTTTAAATTTTGTTTATTAATCAAGGATTAAGTGCTGTATAAATGTTTTCACTTTTCTTGACTTGACTTATTCAATGACTAGCTCCCATAAAATTAGTATTTTTCTATTTACCTTGTTATATAGAATGCAAATTTGGAGATAAATCATTTTACTTCAATATGTTAGGATTAAAGATAGTTTCAAAACTTATACACGGAAATCGATGGCATTCTAATTTAACCCATTAAAGTATTTAATTTAAATTCTATTTTGTAGAAACCCTTATTTGCCCCTGAAGTGTTCATTCGATATAATCGCGTCTAATCAAAGAATCCAATTAGTGGCAAATCCGCGTAATTTATGAGGCCTACCAATTTCGAACTTAAAACTATTTGCTAACAAGCTAAGCTAACACGGCTACCAAATGCAGCTACCTGCTAGTTAATTCAGTTTACTTATTTGCCCAAGCTCAGAGTGCTTCGGAGTGTTTCTCCATTCCAAAGCGGCCGTCACACAGTGCGTATGCTTAATGCGTTTGCCTTAACTTTGACTTACTCTCCGCGTTGTCGCTGTTCAATGGCGCGTGTTCCATTTTGTGGGCCGACACAAGCTACACGAGCTGAACTACACACTAGAGATTGGCTGTTGTTGCCGCTGCTCTTGTTATTGTCACCTGTCCGATTATTATTATTATTTTTATGCGCCTGAGTTTTTTTCTTTGAAATGTGCGTTGTCGCTGTCTAGCCACATTGCGTGACCTTCGATCGAACGCTCTCGATTTGCAAGCCATTAAAATTGATATTATCTGGGACTGAAAATTGAAATTGTATCGAAATCCGAGCTGTACGAAATCAATTACTCAGCTATGCGTAGCCGTGTCTTACTTATAAATCGTCATTGGGCCCCTTGGCTTTTTGGTGTTTCTTTGCAGTGAAAGTTGTTAAGCCATCAAAGAGTATTTGTTGTTGTTTTCTTTAAATTTTATTTCGCTGAGCCAGACAAATTAATTATTAATGTGGATCAAATATTTTCAGTTCATTTCACATAAATACTGAAATTATTTCTCATTTTTTCTACCCTTCACTTTTTGCGGCCAAGGAATGCTGTGTATTTATTGTTGCCTTCCACTTATTGTTGTGTTGTTCTGTGTGCGTAGATGGTTGCGGAGCTGGTCAGGCTCAAGAGCTTGTTTAGAACACGTAATTGTTGTTGACGCCGAAAGTGTTTTGGGCTTGGTGGCCACAAGAAATCTTCAAAAGGGTGCTCGAAAAATCGGGTCTGGACTCAAGGCTTAATTGTTGTCTATTTTTGGGTACACCAAAATTCCTGGCTATGAAAATATGGACAGTAATTTAAGAGTGTAAAGAAAGAACCCAAAATTCCAGCATCTGCATTTATATTTCTGTTATTAGTCCAAATTATTTCATGTTAAATTGTTAATTGTCGTCGCGAAATTCCATAAACAGCTCACAGCTGCAGATACTAATCGAGTGAACTTAGTCAACTTCAAATTGTCCGCCTAGAGACCCCATCGTGAAGTAAAAAATCATTTACAAGTTGCCTCATTGCACGCACAGATAAATCAAGAATCGACGACAATCGGCGGCACATAAAAATTAATTAATTTAATTACTTATCTAACTGAATTGCTTTGGAGCTTCGAGTGCCCAACTTATGCTTGTGTGTTTTCAATACTTTTTCTTCATCTGTTTTAATGACAATTGCACATGAATGTGTCGAACGTATGTACATAAATTTTTTGTTTTTTGTGTTTCCCTCGCGATTCATTTAGAGTGCACTTCAAAGTTAGCATTTATATTTTTTACGCTTTTCAATGCGTGTCAAAAGTTGGCTGCGAGCGTTCTCTTACACTAATAAATATTTATAGATGCGCCCGTTCTGCCAGATGCCTGCCTGCACTCGTTAAGGCCGGTTCGGATCGAAGATACTAAGAATTTTAATTGATTTTAATGTGCACAGCTGCACTGTGGAGACTGACTATTGACTGACATCCAAACAAAGATCGAAGAGGCTAGTACGGGGTCAGCAAGGGGCGAAAAGGAGGTAAGTGAGCTGTTGACATACTCATTGCAGAACTGACATAAAATATTGTCTCTCTACAATGGCTAAATGTTTCACAAATTAATCATTAACTGCTTGGGTTACTATACAATACAACTTGTGAGTTAAGAATAAAATAAATATTTTACTAGGTAATAGGTATTACAATGTATTAGTATACCTTTTACTAAATACTATTTCTAAATAAATTTTGGACGGACTGGAAATTAAAAAAAAATGTAAGGTGCATGAGATCAGTATATTTAATTACATACTAATATTTATGCTATATATTTATGTATTAGGCATGCAATATGTTCATATTAATAGTATTGAACACAAAGAAGTTTATATAAATACATTTTTATAAATAAGAAGTAATATTGTATGATGATATCAACTATTAAGTGCTGGGAACGTAATAAAGAAAGTAAAAAAGTTACAGTCTTGCCAACTGTGGGATACTGAGTACCCAACAAATTGTGAATTAATTTAAAAGGAACATAAACATGGCCCAAATTTAAAAATAAAATAAGCAGTGTGAAAAGCACAAGAATATATAATAAAGAATAATGTTGCTAAGAAAATGCTGCGCAAATAGCCAAAGTACCAAAATCAATACAAAAATAACTACCACACCAATTTTTATCTAAATACAAAATCACTTTTAAATCTAGTAACTGCATTTTATGATCTGCGTGCTACAGATATGCATGTTATCAAACAATTTGATAGCACTGACTTTTATATTTCTTGAGATCACACTAAGAGCAGACAAAAGGACACACTCATATGTCTAAATTGACTCGGCTAGAGATGCCTACTATTCTCTGTTAAATATATTCTCACTTGGTACTAAGCTATGATACTCGTGTAGCCTACGTGTACCGTGTATAAAAACTATAAATCATTAATGTTGTCGATTAGTACCCTCATATAGTAATTAGAAGACTGGTTTATGTTCTGTCAGTTAAATACAGATGGGCCTACAAATGAACCATAATTAGTATATCTTCTAACTGACTTCTGCAAGGCAAGATCACGTTTTTACGAGAATCATAAACACTCAGTTCCACCTCATAAAGATGAATGACCATTAAATTGGTTTTATGCAAATTTCATGTAATCCAACAGACGCTAGGTTTATGCGGGGGTTAATTTGTGCAATAATTGTTAAGAATATAATATAAGACAAGTTCTCTAACTTTAATCAACTGGTAAAATTGAACAACTTACAAGACTAAATATTAACAAATAAATCTGATTTTAAGCTTTCCGTTAAATGCGAAGCTAAACCAACGTCGTTGCAAGCAATTAACAGTAATAGCGACACCCGCTCTCTCTCTCTCTCTATCTTAGTCTCCCAGAGCCAACGCATCCGCCAGGTTCGGAAAGCCCCCTCTAAGCTGCGAGGAAGGTAGAGAAAGGGCGTGCGAAACACGCGAGTGATTAATACGACATGTCATGTCAAATATGACGGAAGTATTTAGAAGGCGGACACAATCCCGGACCCGAAATCAGTCTCCAAACCCGAACGCTAACCCGATCCAGATCCCGCCAGCCGAGGCGAAATGGAGCAGCAGCTGAGGAGCTGCTCAGGAAAAAAAAAATAGCAAGCGGATGAGCGGATTGGAGCCGGACTGGAACCGGTTCCGCTGGCAACCATTTCAGCGAGCCCCACTGTGGAAGGTCCCCGCACAGCTGAGCTCAGTTTCGAACCAACTCTTAACCGCTGCGGACGTGTGTGTTGGAGACCGCGTCGCTCACCCGCTCCACAGCCCACCAGCTCCCCCGCCGCCGCTCTTTCCGCTATTCGCTTCGCGTGTGCTGGTGAGAGATCGCGGACGAGAGTGAATGTGAAACGTGTCGCGCATGCGCGCCGTCTTCTTCACCGTTATTGTGTGGCTGCTGCTTTCCGTTTTATCGCCCATGCAAAGTGAAGACCGCAGCCATGCCAAGTTGCTCAAATTGTTTGGAAAATAGTGCAAAAACCCGATAAACATTGAACACCACCCACCCGCTTGAGATCGTTAGCTATTTTCGTGGATCTTTCTTGGCGTTCGCGTTGCCATCTCTCTTGCTCCCCCACGGCGTCGATTCACCCTCTCTGTCGCTCTGCTAGTGTGTGTGTCAGTTTTTTTTTTTTTGGGTCCCCTTTCGGTGTTCGGAGTCTTCTTTGTCCCGTGCTTCGTCGCTGTCTTGGCTTTGCTTACGTTTTCGTTCATGAATTTAATTTATTTTCGTGTTTCATATTTGTTGTTTAGCGACCGCCTCTCCTTCATCTTCTGCACTTCCACAGCCTTCGCCTCCCGTGCAACAACAGCAACATTATAAACAAAGAAATATCGGTTTTTGCGCAATTTTAGCAAGAGCAGAAAAAAAACGAAGAAAAAACAGAGAAAACTCAAGAAAACTCACGGAGCATCATAGACAAATTAGCCAAAGATAGAGAAAAATGCTCTTCACTCGTTTGTACCATATCTTAAATACATATTGCAAAAATGATCCAATAGAAATGTTATGTTATTTAAATAGGATGCTGTTTCTGGTTTTAGAAGCGGTTTGTTCAATGAGAATTTGGAAATTAACTTGATTTCGTCTTGAAATAAATCTTCAAATTTTTACCCAACAATTTTGGCAATTAGCCGCAAAAAATGTTTATTAATTGATGTGAAATATCCGGGGGCTATGGCTAATGTTCAGAAAGCCATCGCTTCTACCGCAAAACAATTTGGTGTATTATACCGTAATTCCACAGTGATTATTGCCGTTCAGTCTTCCACGCTTTCTTGGCTTTCTCTCCCTCTCTCTCTCTTACTGGGTATATGCGTTTGAAATCATGAATTCTGAAAAACGTGAAATTAAACTAGTTAAGCAAAACAAATGCAATTCAACGAAAGAATATGAAATGTGACCCACATGTCTATTTTTCATAAGTTATTTATAGGCGCTTGATGAAATGCGGTAATTTTAAAGAAAGGTCATGAAGTGGTCCTCGCATAAACGAGGTAAATCTATATCTATTCCGCCTCCTCATTCCCATGCCCCTTTTTGTGCTCGCCCACAATTTACCGTCCGTTCGAAGTTGGCTTTTACCCCACTAAAGTCTGCTTTCTGCCTTTGCTGCCACTTAATAATAATTTCTAAACAAACTCCGAATTGCATTAAGCGGAAAAATGCGAAGCTCCTTGTCTTTATGACTTTGTTAGCTTTAGCACTCGGCAGTTGTTGTAATGTTAATTGTTTGCAGTTGTGCAATGGCATTTTATATGTTTTTTTTTTGTCTTTACTTCTTCTCTGTGCCTCCTCTTTGTTGCTTATTTGAACATACAATACACATACGTTTGTATGTTGCTTAAAGTTGTTGGTTTTCGGCTTTTGTTGCTGCCCGTGGTTGTTACTGTTGCTTTTTCTGCCTTTTTTCGGCTTCTTTCCCGACTATTGTCGATTATGACTAATGGAATTCGTAAGCTCGCAGAAGGTCAATTGTTTTGCGGGTAATTCCGTTTACTTAACACCGCGTCTCGTTTCGTTTTCAGCCTCCTCCCCGGTTCCCTATATTTGTTTTGCCATTTATTTGGCCATACACCGCACTGCACTCGATAAGTGCGATTTTATTTGTTCGCTTCATAATTAATTAGAGACATTAACGAACCATTTCGCCATTTACTTGGGTTTCTCTGCGGTTAGGTCCGTTTTTTTCCATAAATATTTCCAGCAAGAAATTAAGTAGTTCAATTTTACTACATAGAAACTACAATATCCGTAACGGAGGCACAAAATAGACAACCAAATTAGTTTTAGCTGTCTTTATTTAATTTAGTTTTTGTATTATGATAAATGTGTACATGAGATTTTAGTAATTTTTGGTAATATTATGTTGATATGAAGAAAACTGGTATAATAGAATCATATACTTTTAAAAGCTTTGATAATTTTTCTATTTCTATATCGCCAACAAGTGGTCTTATTGGTAACTACTGCTTTGGTGGGAAGTTTCTTTGATATTTCAACAACCTTTTCGTTTTGCCAATCTAATAACTCGAATTATCAGGCTTAAGACTTAAGCCATTTAAAAACCAAACAACAAGTGACTATCACAACCAAATACATGCATAGATAACTTCATTAAATCTTATGCTAATTCAATAGATAGTTCCGCTCTAACAAACATTTTAAACGAGAATCGCAGTGAATCAGTAGCCACAAAAATGCCCAAAAAATGACTCAAAATAACGTTTTGGAATGTGGAATCTCTGTATGAATAATCAGTTTCTTTTGCAGTGCAATAAATGAAAATCATGGGATCTCAACCACGCAAATATTAAAGTGTGAAATCGAATCAATCGAATCTCTGTGATCAAAACGCGAAGTAATGCAAAGTTAAGCCGATGCCCTCCCAAGTCCGTCCTCACCCCGAGTGTTAGTTTGCTTAATTAATTTAACAATACAATCGCGCCGCTTCGCAGCAAACAAAGGAATAATATATAATAAATAAAAATTGTTTGCAATCAATATGAGTGTTCCAAGCGCGCCCCATCAGCGGGCAGCAAGTAAAAATCAAAAACCATGTCCAAATGCAAAACACAAATCCCGGCTTCGGCTGCCGGGGGCAACCTGTGGAGGAGCTCTGCTTTTGTTACTGATTAGTCTGGGCCTGGACCTGGGCTCCGTGCATTGTTATGGTGAGTACCAACACACAACGGCCTACTACAATACTTAATAAATAGTAACCCGCGGATTTAATTAGTGCCCATTTGATTTTATGCCCCCTTAGGATAACATTTTTTTTTAAATCTCATTGTATGGTTATTTAATTCAATTTGATATATTTGCATTGACATGAATCGTGGCAGTAGAAAGGTATTTGTCACAGCAACATCTCACCTGAAATGACACTCTCTTAACTATATTCAGTTCTAATTGATAATTCCTACTAAATTTTAATGTACTTACATTCATTTCTGAACACACCCCCAAATATACGAAATATTACCTTATTTTATGGCTGTCCCATTCATTATTTTAAGTTACTAAACTTGTCAGTATGATATATGTATGTAACCGGCTTCGGACCTCGGACACAGTTTAGACAGAATCAATAGAATTTCCACTCCAAATGGTAGTTGCAATCGCTGAAAGGAGGGAAACAATTATACGGTTTTTAAGGCAAATAAACCCATCATAATTGCACTCGCACAATAAAAACCGGCTGCAGGTCTGTTTAGAATAGACGTCATCAGTCTTACTTAGATCTCGTGGCATCAAAATGACCGATTAGATTCCATCAGAGACTGTTCGACAATTTATTATTCATAAAATTCTATATAGGTTTTCAAATGCACTGACAGAATTTAGGAAATTAAGATACTAAACTGATGATAAACTTCGTAAGTTTCCGCTTAACAGTAGACAAGTAATTACAGACGTTCTAGCAAAATCCAAATAAAATTTTGAAGTTTTTTTATATATGTTTTTCGAGGTTTTCTCACAGTGTTATTTGTCGAGCATAAAGCTTTGGGAGGTGTAGAGGAGGGAACCTATAGATTCCACGATGTCTGGCGATCTGGTCACGTACCACCTGTCCAGGGGAAGGGGCGTGGGCGTGGCTCGGTGTTAGCCAAGTCAAATGTCAACGCACGATCAGCTGGCTTCCCCTCTGTTCACTGACACTCGATTGGATGTGTTTTGTCCCCTCGCTCCTCCCGGTTACCTCCATCAATTCGATCCGCATTGTTTCACTATTTTTCTCATTTATTATTTTTCCTATCAGTTGATTTATGCACAGCCAGCACGTTTTGTATACTTTTATTTTGCAATATTTAGCGTAATGAAATTACTGCAAACAAACGTGAAATATATCCCATTGTTTTGGCCAGCCATGCCCCCTGCGGAGTGACTGTCTACGTGCCGGCTTCTTCCTGATTGAAAGATCGATGATTTTAGCGATCTTCGATCTCCGGATCCCCGATCTCAGCAGGTGGCTATTGGAGGGGAAGTTGAACATTAAATTCGTTTCGCCTGTTGGCACCAAAATGATTTTGTTTCGTTTTGTTTTCTTTTCATACAATTTATTAGCATTTGTGAAGGTCTGTTTTCGTTTCAGTTTTGCGTTTGATTAAGTTTGTGGGAGGTTTTTATTTCGCAAATTAAAATTTAAAAATAGTACTAATAATAAGATAAGACGCGGTAATAAGAGGGATACTAGTATATATTAATAATAATCACAATTCTAAACAGTTACTAAAAAGAGACTGCAAATATAATTCGCTGCAGCGATCTATTTGAATGCGTCAACGACAGGCGAAAACTGACCCAAGATAAAGAAAGCTCATATATACATACATATGTATGTATTCTGCTGAATATAGATAAGAATTTAGATTGGACCAGCTCTCTTAAGCTCTCGGTGAGCACAAATAATGTTATTGTGAATAGGATCGTTAATAAACACATGAAGAGAAAAAAAAAACTCTTAAAAATTGTACCTACATATATGTATGTATGTATATAAAAATATATTGATTGTAGAGGAGAAAAAAAACAAAATTAAACAAAATATAAAACAGTATACACATGAAAACAAATGTTTGTTTACTATAAATAATATATATAAATAATAATAATTCATGCTCATTTATAATACACTCGCGAATAATTTTATTTGGCGTTCATTCTTATCAAAAAAGAGAGAAAAAGGGGAATCCCTTAAAAAGAGAGTTGACCATTGAGATTGTGGAACAAATAACGCTTATGTCAGTCGGGTTTTGAGTGGCAAGGCGTGAAGAACATTTAGTAATGAGCGAAAGAAACGAGAAATCTTCTGGAGTTGCCGGTGAAAAATCTTCAGATTCCATCAACGAAGAGCAGCCAAGTGGGAGCAGAGTGAGGAAACACAATGAAGAGTCTTCTGAAATATATGCAAAAAGGCGCAAGACATCTGATGGAAACTCAGAGAATATTGCGGCGGTGGAGCTGAATGGAATGAAATGCAATGAATCCCCATCACTTAAATCTATATTGGATTTAAACGAGTATTGCTGGATCGCCATATTTTCTTATCTCAGTTTGAGGGACCAACTTAAACTGGCTGGTTCAAATCGAAGAATATCCGAAATTTACAAGTCGTATATACGACACAGATACAGACATATTGATGAGCGTGTCACGACCAATATTGACGAAACCGATTTGGCACATCTTCTGGAACTCATGGGCGAGAATGTAATCAGCTATGAGTCATCATTGGATCCTCAGGACGATGGGGAGCAGCATATGTGGCTTTTGCGTACTTACACCAAGGAGCTGCAACACTTGAAGATGACTTTTCGACGCCCCAATTCGAGAGACCTTTTGAGTTTGCGCCAGTTGACTTCCCTGCATGCCCGTCTGTATTTTGGTAATGCAGAATCGTGTCTTAAATTCATTATCAACCTTGTGCACTTGCCATGCCTAAGGAAATTGAAATTGGAGGCTCCAAATTATAATGGTGAGGGGTTGTATTTCCTGGATCATCTTGAGTTCCTGGAAATTGGCAGTCATCCTGGATTTGATGCCGAAAAACTGGCGGATTGTTGCCTGAAGATGAAGAGACTTCGACACCTCAATATTGGCAAGTACATTGACAACCTTACGGCGGAAAACTTTTGGTTGATAGTACAGAATTGCCGAAATTTGGAGCGATTGGCGTTTGGAGAACACCTCCTGGAACTTAATGTACCCTATGAGATCATAAGTCAGCTGCCCAGGCTGAAGCACTTGCAGTTGTGGCATTCGGTCTCTATCAAAGCAGACTTCATCGAAAAGCTTATCCAAAAGGTGGGCGACCCATTGGAAAGTCTCGTTTTGATGGGAAACAAACTGAGGAGTGAGCAGGTGGAACATTTGTGTGAAATATCCTCGCTCAGAGAACTCCATGTAGCCTGTGATTCTGTTCCCCTGGAAGGTCTTTTGAAGCTAAAGAATATTGAGTACCTTCATATAAACATGCCAGATATAACCAACGAACAACTAATGGAGCTGCTAAAGGGCTGCCCCCGCCTGACTTTACTCAGTGTTCAAAACGCTCATTTAATTACCTCGGAATTTGTACGTGATGCAACTTTGTTCTGGAAGCACACACGCAGTCAATCTGATTTGATCAAAGTCGTCTATTTGCATTATTCTTCTGTAAATTGGAATTTAGTACAAATGTTTAATGACGATAAGGTAATTCGGTTTCTACGTGGCTCTCTGCGCGCTCCTATTTTAATAAACGAAGAGCTTACGAACAACTATCAGGTTGAACAGTCATCAAATCAACTCTAAATTATTGTAAATAAATGTATTTGTCACATTAAAATAGTTAAAATATAATAATCATAATTATATATACGCATTAATTAGGATGAATATTTAAGTAAAGTTGTTGTCGCATTAAATGTTTGATTATTTGAATTCCTGCTTCTGGCTTTTAATTAATTTATTATTATTTATTAATTCGAAAACGAATCATTGGTCTATTTTAAACAAGTTTATCAAGGCCTCAATATATTTAGTGGGATTTTTTCATTATAAATTATTAAAAAACATACATCTAAACTTTTGTTTTACTAAGAATGAAGACCATTACTTAGAATATTTTTATTTTATTTAAAACCGACCATTTAAAGATGGTTTAGGAGATGTAGTAAAAATATATTTGAACAAAGTGAAAAACTCATACTCATACAGACTGGTTTACATACCAACACATTTGTTCGAATAGCCAACAATGGTGATTTTAATTAGACAAGAGGTATTTTGATTAATGGAATAAAAATGCCCAAAAGAATAATACTTGTAGCAAAAAAAGCACACCAACAGACTGAATCATTACTTTGTTTAGTTTTGGTTAGTGTTTCAATTTAACTTCAATTTAGGAATGACTGCATTCTTTGGGAATCACAACTCTTAATTAAGCCGCCAGAGATAAAATAAATTCCTTGTGCTTCGTTAGTATTACATTTGTGCTGCGGCGAGACGTTGTACGGGATTGTAAAATTAAATTAAGTCATGTGCTGCGACAAATTTGGCAACCAATTAACAGCTAACAAATAGATGTCACTGTCTGCATTAATAACTTTTTGTTCGTTTCTCGTAATTAGTGTTAATTATTAATAACTCGCTTCAAACCGAAAAGCGAAAGCGGGTTGCTTTTTGTCCTTAATTACACATGTGACAAATTACTCAAATGTTCTGAAAAGTGAAGATTTTGAGGACTAAAACAACAAGTTATTTGTTTATTTGAAGTGAATTAAATAAAAATCAGAAAATAAAATGTTAAAACACAAAAGGTTTAGTTTTCTCTTGTATTTTATCGTATAAATATTTGTTTATTTTTTGTGAAGCTGGTATGTAACTCAAGCTCTGTATGTTTTCTCTTGTCTCTCTTTTTTTGCAAAGCCATGTGAGAAAAGTAGAGTCTTTTGTTTAAACAGAAAACCGTCACGCACGGCCCGAGATGAAAGTGAATTATGCGACGTAGCGGCGTCTTTCTACTGCCTAGACTGGCATAAATCAAAAGACTTGGAAAACGAACGCGAAACAGCTGACGAACAGCGACGGAAAGTACAATGCGACAATTGATGACGCCGCCGAGCTTGTGTGTAAATGTACTTAGTATTTTTTAGGGGAATCCGTGATGTCGTGCATGTTTCGAGCAAAAAAAAAAAAAACATATAGCTAGACCTGACTTTAGTGTGGAAGCTTCTCCACCATGCAGGTGTTGGTTACTGTTTTTTTTTGTTTCTGCCGACATTCCGCACTACGCCAACGCAGAGTGTACATATGTGTATATATGAGCTATATATAGTTGATCGGAGTCAGCTGAGGCTTCCTCTCTCTCTGACAGTTTCGCAGTGAATGACTCTCCTCAGCTGGCTACGTTTTTGGTTAACCGGATCTGATTCTGTTGCCATCTCGGCGCCCTGGGAATTAATTCTGTTCGCTGGCTCGCTGTTGCCATCCATCCATCCATCCATCCAACCATCCATCCATCCATCTATCCATCACTCACTCACTCGCTCATACAGCTGTGCGCCATTCAGACAGCGGCGATCATTGCTCTCGAAAATGGTACGAAATATAGTCATGATTCGCAGCTTTGCCAGCCTCTTGAGCCGTCAAACGTCATAGAAGAGCCGTGGTATGGTAAAGAATTTATCCAAATGTATCTCATTCCAGGCTTGAATTAATTTCGGCACTTTGCGGGTGCTGCCTCATGAAATGAATAACAAAAGTTAAATTGTGGAAATAAAAACAAAAAAACTGGTTTAAATGCCTGTTACGATTAGCCCATCCGCCAAGCACTTTTTAGAATGTTTTAGGTATGTTTATCTCTTTTTATTTTTTGTTTGTTTGTTTCGGGCATTGGCTTGGTAATTTTTAAAACTGGTTTCCCACGAAACCCCACCATTCCCCATTGCAATTATAAGTAAATAAACCATAATTATAAGGTTTAGCGTCAGAACAATTACGCCTAGCAGATTTTTATCACTTTAAGGTGCCTTCTGTTTAACAAACATTTATTTTTTACAATGCTTGTTTCGTGTTTCTCATATGTGATTCATCCATTAATCAGCCTGAAAAAAGGGTAGATTAAGGGACTCAAAGGTTGGACTTTAGATAATTAAGATTGCTCATGTTAGAAAATAAACAAATGACAACAAGAGAGTATATTTTTGCAATTGATCAACAAACTCCCAGCTTTATTTATTTTACTTGGTCTAATTTGCATGTGTACCGATTCGTTTAATATATCCGTTATAATCATCCGGGTGTGGTGATTACTCAAACCCAATTAGAATCAAGCAAAGAAGGTACTGTAATTACATTTTATGATGACAAGTCGAATGTTGATAATTTGCCAAAATTGCTTAGCGACTCATTCGAATCACAAAGTAATAGACAAATATGCAAATTGTAAGCCTTAACATTCCTACAGTTTGGCCAATAGAGCAAAGCGGTTGGGTGTGACTCAATCTCCGACGGCCGGAGCTCGAAGTCAATCAATTTTCCAGTCAATTAAAACCAAACTAAGTCAGCCAAATACATTTTCTAATATCACAATCTACAATTTATCGGATCAGTTGGACTTTGGTAAAAACCGGCTGCTACTGTGTCCGCCGCTCACCTGTGCGTAAATTATTTATCTAATTTGAGGTGAACATTTAGAGCATTCTCTGATCTTAACTATCGCAAATTTATGCGTTATTTACACGCATAAAATTTAACGAAATTACGCAAATAAATGCAAATTAATTGCTTTATTTTTGAGAGTGGCAAAGTGATGGCAAACAGCTTGCTTCTAAAAAAACTCACATTCTGCCCGAATACCAAAATGGTATTAAGTTATTTGTATGTGGGTTAAGGTTTGTTTCAATGAAACATTTTTCTTTTTTATCGAGTTGAAATTGAATTAAGTAGGAGAATGTTTTAATAATTTTTAATACACTTAATATTTTTATTAATAAAAAAAGCAGGTTTATAAAGAAAGGTTTCTTAAATTTATAAACATGATTTATTTTAGGTCTTAGAAGGAAAAATAAACCATATATGTACATAATATATATTGATAAATTCTCTCTTAATTATCAACACATATGTTAGGTAGAGTTATTTGTATCATTTTAGATTTATTTATTATCTATTTATTTTATAATGTTTTCAAGAGATTTAATTTCATTGATCTTGTATTATGTTTTTTGATTGTTATAGTTATAAATGTTAATATAATCGTTATATTCATATTCTTTTTTTCTTTCCCTTAGAATGTGCTTAGATTTAATATTAATATAACCGTTTAACCTTTCCCTTTACAGAAAAAATGTATAGTCAGACTGAGAAACAGCGCTACGATGGCTGGTACAATAACCTCGCCCATCCCGACTGGGGATCTGTGGGTAAGTGGTTGAGGGGACGGGAATTTCCGTCAGGCTGCTGACAACTTTCGAAAAAGGGCAGAACAGCCCCGATATCATTCTTAATAAGAATCACACTGAAAAAAACCAGGAAATCATATTTAAAGTAAAACTTAATATATACATTTGATATTGAAAGACAATAACTCTGGGACTTGGCTATTACAAGATCAAATTTAAGAAGTGTTTAAGTTATAATTTTAATTAAAATACAAATTATATAAAATGTATCTAAATCTTTAGAATATCAACTTGATAAAATTTTCTTTGTGCGCAATTGAAAGTGTAATCGGTTTGGATTTGCATATGACTGTAATCTTTAGCAATGCCCTCGATTTGCATAGTCACCACCTGGATAGAGCTCACCTGTGCACTTCCCTTTACTTCCAGACAGCCACCTGGTGCGCAAGGCACCCCCCTCGTACTCGGATGGTGTCTATGCGATGGCAGGTGCCAACCGACCTTCGACCCGCAGGCTAAGCCGCCTCTTCATGCGGGGCAAGGATGGGCTGGGCTCCAAGTACAATCGCACCGCACTGCTGGCCTTCTTTGGCCAAGTGGTGGCCAATGAGATTGTGATGGCCTCGGAGTCCGGGTGCCCCATTGAGATGCATCGCATCGAGATCGAGAAATGTGACGAGATGTACGATCGAGAGTGCCGTGGCGACAAGTACATACCATTCCACAGGGCGGCCTACGACCGGAGCACGGGCCAGAGTCCAAATGCGCCCAGGGAGCAGGTGGGTACCGGTGCTGGCCACCGCCCAGAATCACGATGTGATCAATCTAGCAATAAATCCTACTCCGCAGATAAATCAAATGACTGCTTGGATTGATGGCAGTTTCATTTACAGCACCTCCGAGGCCTGGCTCAATGCCATGCGATCCTTCCACAACGGCACCCTGCTCACCCAGAAGGATGGCAAGCTGCCGGTGCGGAACACCATGCGAGTGCCGCTCTTCAATAATCCGGTGCCGAGCGTGATGAAAATGCTCAGTCCGGAGCGGCTATTTCGTAAGTAATATAATCTCAATTTTAAATATAGTTTAGCTAATGATGTTTGAAGATAGTTAACAAGTTCATGTTCTTTTATAGTTCTTGGCGATCCGCGCACTAACCAGAATCCAGCTGTCCTCTCATTCGCTATTCTCTTCCTGCGGTGGCATAATACTCTGGCCCAGCGAATCAAGCGATTGCATCCGGATTGGAGCGATGAGGACATTTATCAGCGTGCCAGGCACACGGTTATTGCCAGTCTCCAGAATGTGATTGTCTACGAGTATCTACCCGCCTTTCTGGGCACCTCTCTGCCACCGTATGAGGGGTACAAGCAGGATGTGCATCCGGGAATAGGACACATTTTCCAGGCAGCTGCCTTTCGATTTGGTCACACAATGATTCCGCCAGGCATATACAGGCGCGATGGTCAGTGCAACTTCAAGGAGACGCCCATGGGTTATCCAGCTATCCGATTGTGCTCCACCTGGTGGGACTCCAGCGTAAGTTTGTGGGAATGCAAAAGAAGGATCTCTTAATAGAATCATTCGATTTCACAGGGTTTCTTTACCGATACAAGCGTGGAGGAGGTGCTGATGGGTCTGGCCTCGCAAATATCCGAGCGTGAGGATCCGGTTCTGTGCTCGGATGTGCGGGACAAACTATTCGGACCCATGGAGTTCACACGCCGGGATCTAGGTGCTCTAAATATTATGCGAGGACGAGACAACGGTCTGCCGGACTACAACTCTGCCAGGGAGTCCTACGGCCTAAAAAGGCACAAGACCTGGACGGATATTAATCCGCCATTGTTTGAGACTCAGCCAGAACTCTTGGAGTAAGTTTTAATGATGGATTGGATTACTGATTGAGTAACAACTCCCCTCTTGTAGCATGCTCAAGGAGGCTTACAACAATCAGCTGGACGATGTTGATGTTTATGTGGGTGGCATGCTGGAATCATACGGTCAGCCGGGTGAGTTCTTTACGGCTGTGATCAGGGAGCAATTCCAGCGACTGCGTGATGCTGATCGTTTCTGGTTCGAGAATGAGCGTAATGGCATCTTCACGCCTGAGGAGATCGTGGAGCTACGCAAGATCACGCTGTGGGACATCATTGTGAACAGCACGGATGTGGCCGTGGATGAGATCCAGAAGGATGTGTTTATGTGGCGCAAAGGTGACCCCTGCCCGCAGCCCATGCAGCTGAATGCCACAGAGCTGGAGCCTTGCACCTATTTGGAGGGCTATGACTACTTCTCTGGCTCCGAACTGATGTTCATCTACGTTTGCGTCTTCCTGGGCTTTGTGCCCATCCTGTGCGCCGGAGCCGGTTACTGTGTGGTTAAACTACAGAACAGCAAGCGGAGAAGACTGAAAATTCGACAGGAGGCACTGCGTGCACCTCCCCACAAGGGATCCGTGGACAAGATGCTGGCAAGGGAATGGCTGCATGCCAACCACAAGCGATTGGTTACCGTCAAGTTTGGCCCGGAAGCTGCCATCTACACTGTGGACCGGAAGGGAGAGAAGCTGCGCAACTTTAGTCTGCAGCATGTGGACGTGGTCAGCGTGGAGGAGTCGGCCACGAACCACATCAAGAAGAAGCCGTACATTCTGCTTCGCGTGCCCAGCGACCATGATTTGGTGCTGGAACTGGAGTCATACGGAGCTCGGCGGAAGTTCGTGAAGAAGCTGGAGGATTTCCTTTTGCTGCACAAAAAAGAGATGACCTTGATGGAGGTGAACAGGGACATTATGTTGGCGAGAGCCGAGACTCGTGAGCGACGTCAGAAGCGCCTGGAGTACTTCTTCCGGGAGGCGTATGCCCTGACCTTCGGCCTGCGGCCTGGGGAAAGGCGCCGTCGATCGGATGCCTCCAGTGATGGCGAAGTGATGACCGTGATGCGGACCAGTCTGTCTAAGGCGGAGTTTGCTGCCGCTTTGGGCATGAAGCCCAATGACATGTTCGTGCGCAAGATGTTCAATATAGTGGACAAGGACCAGGATGGACGGATCAGCTTCCAGGAGTTCCTGGAGACGGTGGTGCTCTTCTCGCGCGGCAAGACCGATGACAAGCTGCGCATCATCTTCGACATGTGCGACAACGATCGCAACGGGGTCATCGACAAGGGTGAACTGAGCGAAATGATGCGTTCGCTGGTGGAGATTGCGCGGACAACGAGTCTGGGCGATGACCAGGTCACCGAGCTGATCGATGGCATGTTCCAGGACGTCGGGCTGGAGCACAAGAATCACCTGACCTACCAGGACTTTAAGCTGATGATGAAGGAGTATAAGGGTGATTTCGTGGCCATTGGGCTGGACTGTAAGGGGGCCAAGCAGAACTTCCTGGACACCTCCACGAATGTGGCCCGCATGACCTCGTTCAACATTGAACCCATGCAGGACAAACCCCGTCACTGGCTTTTGGCCAAGTGGGATGCCTACATCACGTTCCTCGAGGAGAACCGGCAGAATATCTTCTATCTGTTCCTTTTCTACGTTGTGACCATTGTGCTCTTTGTGGAGCGCTTTATCCACTACTCATTCATGGCGGAGCACACGGATCTGCGTCACATCATGGGTGTGGGCATAGCCATTACCAGGGGTTCAGCTGCCTCGCTATCCTTCTGTTACTCGCTGCTGCTGCTGACCATGTCCAGGTAAGTACATTCCGAGCCGAATAACCGCTTAAACTCACCTTACGTGATATCCTAGGAATCTGATTACCAAGCTGAAGGAGTTTCCCATTCAGCAGTACATTCCCCTGGACTCGCATATTCAGTTCCACAAGATCGCCGCCTGTACGGCTCTCTTCTTCTCGGTGCTGCACACGGTGGGCCACATTGTGAACTTCTACCACGTGTCCACACAATCCCACGAGAATCTGCGCTGCCTGACCCGGGAGGTGCACTTCGCCTCTGACTATAAGCCGGACATCACGTTCTGGCTCTTCCAGACTGTAACCGGAACCACGGGTGTCCTGTTGTTCATCATCATGTGCATAATTTTGTGTTTGCGCATCCCACGATCCGGAAGAAGGCCTACAACTTCTTTTGGAACATGCACACCCTATATATCGGCTTGTACTTGCTCAGCTTGGTCCACGGACTGGCCAGGCTGACAGGTCCGCCCCGCTTCTGGATGTTCTTCCTGGGACCGGGCATCGTTTACACCCTGGACAAGATCGTTTCGCTGCGTACCAAGTACATGGCACTGGACGTCATTGAAACGGATTTACTGCCCTCTGATGTGATCAAGATCAAGTTCTACCGCCCGCCCAACCTAAAGTATCTTTCTGGTCAATGGGTGCGGTTGTCTTGCACCGCCTTCCGGCCGCAGGAGATGCACAGCTTCACGCTGACCTCGGCGCCGCACGAGAACTACCTCAGCTGCCACATCAAGGCCCAGGGCCCGTGGACGTGGAAGCTGCGCAACTACTTTGATCCCTGTAACTACAATCCGGAGGATCAGCCCAAAATCCGGATAGAGGGTCCGTTTGGAGGCGGCAATCAGGACTGGTACAAGTTCGAGGTGGCTGTGATGGTGGGCGGTGGCATCGGTGTGACCCCCTACGCCTCCATTCTCAACGACTTGGTCTTTGGTACGAGCACCAATCGGTACTCGGGAGTTGCCTGCAAGAAGGTCTACTTCCTGTGGATTTGTCCCTCGCACAAGCACTTCGAGTGGTTTATCGATGTGCTGCGCGATGTGGAGAAGAAGGACGTGACCAATGTGCTGGAGATACACATATTCATCACGCAGTTCTTCCACAAGTTTGATCTGAGAACAACAATGCTGGTGAGTAGAGATGGAAGTTAAGAAGTTATATCTCTAATATATAATAATTTCGCATCATAATCTCTCATTTCAGTACATCTGTGAAAACCACTTCCAGCGGCTGTCAAAGACCTCAATATTCACTGGCCTCAAGGCAGTGAATCATTTCGGTCGCCCGGACATGTCCAGCTTCCTGAAGTTCGTCCAAAAGAAGCACTCTTATGTATGTTAAAATGTATTATATATTTGCCGAATATATATTTAATTCTTTGCTTATTTTTTAAGGTCTCCAAAATAGGCGTCTTCTCGTGCGGCCCACGGCCGCTGACCAAGAGCGTGATGTCTGCCTGTGATGAAGTTAACAAAACACGCAAGTTGCCTTATTTCATACACCATTTCGAGAACTTTGGATAGATCTGCCAGCGCCAGCGATAAAACCCATTCACACCTGCCAGCTGTCCGCGCTCACCCCCTGTTCTACCTGCCTGCCGCCCGTTTCTCTCTCAACGAAAGCTAATTAATTGTACTCCTAAGGTTCATTCACTAGGCTAAGCCAACTCGAATTCGGCAGAATCCCCTGTACTTAACTCTCGCCCTCTCTCTTAATCCTAGGCTACGCGTACAATCATAGTTTAGAAATGTTTTGTTTAGTGTATTATATATGAGAAATGTATCACCTGTATCCCATTGTAACAAAAAATCTGAGAAAGATCAACAAAAGCAAGATCAACAACAAAACGGCCTCTACTTATGTATATGTATGTATGTATGTATATGTGTATTTATTGAAAATATGATTTGTTATCAGTTTTTGTAAACCGTTCGCATTATTTATTGAAAATTTACGATTATATTGATTATCCGCAAACGAATCGAAACTTGAGAAATGCTTTTTCAAATTATTTAAATGGCGCCGAACTGCTTGCTTAGGAGCAGGGTAAGCAGTGCACGAGCGCGCCACTGTACAGTGCAGTCTTGGAAGGTAAGGCACGGTACACTTACGAAAGATGAATTGACATTTTAAGAGGGACAAAAAAGCGTTTATTGAAAGCTATGCAGTGCCTTTTTTATTTAAGGTACTTATCTTTTTTTTTTTAATAGAACACCTGGCCTCAACAACCTATTATATGAATATTTTGAAGTGTAGTTAGTTCTTCACATTGACTCATTAAAATTAAAGTCAATAATATGAGAAAATATTTTTTGGTTTCTTAAAACCACATTTCTCTTAAATTATTCATAACTTAAATTAAAACATTTTAGTTTTGCATAATTTAAAAAATCTTAAATTAAAATCAAAGGAAACCAAGAAGCAGTTTTCAAGCATTTAAATTATGTACTATGGTCAAGCAGTACACAAAAGAGGTGTCCCGTATACTCAATATTTTGTGCCACCACTGTATAAAGGAAATACGAAGTACGCAAGTGCGGAAATCAGCTGTTCAAGGATGTTTTTATCAAAAACCAAGCAACGTGAAATAAATATTTGTCACATTCAGCAATTTAATAAATAAATGGAATTGTAAATCAAAAATTAAAATTAAATATTCAATCGTAATGGAGGCTATCAAGCATTTTACAATGGAAACCTACACCAATATGCTCAATCGGGAGCTCGCCATCAACGAATGGGCCCAGGAGCGGTTAGTTCTGTCGTATTATTTGGAAAAAGGGGTAAATTATCACATAATCTTTTTAGATTGAGTTCTGGAGCCTCGCTGTGGGCTTTTATGAGCGTATATCTGGACCCCAGCAACATCTTTAATGTATTCATTCCGTTGTGCGGCATCTTTAGCCAGGAGCTACTCATGCATCTCCTGACGGCGGTTAGTCTGGTCAGCACCCTCAACTCCTTTGAGAAATGGTATGGCAATGTTTTCTTGTACAAACATGACAAGGAGTCAGAGATCTTAACAGTACTTCCGTCTACAACAGGATTTATCCCGAAATCCGTCCCTTGTGGTGGCTACGTGAGCGGTTCGCCGATAAGAAGGTGTCCGTCAAGCCACCGGTGGCCTTGGAGAGTCATCAACTTAGCTGCGAGACAAGCGGCGGCCTGCCCTGCGCCCATTCAATGACATTCACTGTGTTCGTTCTCATCCTGGGCTCATTCTCCTTCGTCCACTTCTGGAATCGGTTCAGGTCCTGGCGCTCGCCCATTTGGCGGTTTATGATGTATCCGCTGATAGTGGGCTCAGTCGTCTGCATGTGGCTGAGCCGCCTCTACCTGGCCACAGAGTTCTTGCACCAATGTGTCATTGGGAGCTACATTGGCCTAAGGCTCCTTAACACCTTCGAGGGTAACGCCTGCTACTTGTACTCGCGGCCACGTCTCGTTATGTTGTGTGTGGTGCTCGCCTTAGGAGGACTGGCGGTGGGAGTGTACTTCATCAAGTTGGATATGGATCTGGACCCACATTGGTCTGTGCGGCAGGTGAGGTTATAGAGAATTTTAAGCGGGAAATGCTTCTTAATTATATTTTCCCCCATCAGGCTTTCAAATGGTGTCCAGAGCCCACGTATATGCGTCACGAGGCAAGCGTCATTTTCTTGCTTACTCGAGATTTGGGAAATCTCATGGGATTGGCGTTGGCTTCACCCCTCTCAAATCTGTAAGTATCTTATATATAAATGAGAAAAATTGGACTTTCCATATCTCTTTTGCAGACCAAACAAGAATTCGTCCTTTTTGCGAAGGTGCAGTGTCCTTGGTGCTTTGGAGATAATTAATTACGGACTGCGTTTGGCCACACCCAAGCAGCATGGCCGATTCGCTTTCTTGGCCTTTGAATTCTCTAGGAACACATTACATTCGCTGGTGCTCTTAAAGTACTCAATGCGGTTTTACTAGACTAAGTTATTTTTAATTTATGTTGTATATAAAGTAGACTAGAAATGTTAGAGGTATACAAACTTCCATATGAAAGAACTAACTTAGAACTAAGCTTTTACTAATTAGTTTATAAAATGCAAGTATCCAGTTTAAGTGTTTAAACTTCATTTAAAAAGAGTAAAAACATACATATATAAGGTTAACTGCATCAGAGGTTTTATTGAATCCTACAAAGTTTTGCATCCAATACTTTTGAATAACTTAACTTGCTCTCTCATGTCTTGAATTCTGACATATGTATAATCATACTATTAAGAACCAAACAAGAAATAAATACTCTTATTCTTTTATTTGAATAAGCCTAATGATTAAATTAAACAACAAATTGGTATGAACTGCATGTCGAAGACCACAATAGGGCTTACATAATATTATTAAGTGAACTTTCCTTACCGTCTCGGTTGGCCATCACAAGATTAGTGTTCTTCTGGGATAGCCGCCTGTCTGCGCGGAAGAGGCAATCGACGCGATCTGCCTCGAAGAAGGAGTAGACAACGCGTAGGTTGTTGGTGAAGCCACCGCCATCCTTCCACGCACTCAAGATGACAATGGGATCGCCATCGCTGATGATTTCCATCTTCTTGGCACAAGTAAGACCAAAGTGGACACGTGCATCCACATCGGTGGCGTAGTCGCTGCTCGGCTCGGAGGTGTACAACATGGGCAGGACTCCGCGGTGTATGTAGACCCAGCGGGCGGCACGCTCGCAGCGGGTGATGGCCATAATGGGGCAGCGAGGTCGGAACTTGCTGACCAGCGTGGCCGATCGACCCGAGGAGGTCAGCACCAGGATCAATGTGGCATTGGTTCTCTTGGCCGTCTCCACGGTGGCGATGGCCAGCGAATGTGCCGCATCTAGCTCCCCGCGCACCTCGCTGACCAGGTCGGAGAAGAGGTCGCGGAACCAGAGCACCTTTTCCGCCTCGCGGCATAGCTTGTCACAGGTAGCCACCACCTCGGTAGGATACGGTCCAATGGCCACCTCCGAAGAGAGCATGATGCAGTCGGCGCCATCTATGATGGCATTGGCAAGGTCGAAGCATTCGGCCCGAGTGGGCTGCACCTCCGTGCGCATAGATTCCAGGATGTGTGAGGCCACAATCACTGGCTTTCCGGCCTTATTGCACTGCCCTAAGATGCTCTTCTGGGTGATGAACAACTTGTGGATGGGTATTTGGGTGCCCAGGTCCGCCCGCGACAAGAGCAGACCATCGGCCGCCCGCATAATCTCCGAGAAGCGGCTCAGAGAGATCTTGCTATCTATCTTGGCGATGATCTTGATGTGCCTGCCCTTCTCGCCCAGCACCGCTCGCAGCTCCTTGATGTTTTTGGCACAGCGTACCGCCGAAGCAAAAAGGAAGTCCACATTGGCCTTCATGCTGAATTGGATGTCGAACATGTCCTTTTCGGAGACAGCAGGCAAATCGATTTCGATTTCGGGGAGGATAACGTTGCAGTTGTTCTTGAGCTGACCGCCCTGGATGACCTCGCAGAGCAGACCGTCCACTCCTACCTCCATGACATGGAGTAGTAGCTTGCCATCATCGATAAACAGGCGATCTCCGGTCTTGGTTAGATTAATAATGTTTGGATAGTCCACGTAAACGGCCTCCTTGTTGCCCTTGTCATAGAGGTCCCGATTGATCGAAAGTCTTAAGTTGTCGCCGGTGCGCAGGAACACATCTCCGTCCAACAAGCCCGTCCGGATCTGGGGTCCTCGGGTGTCCGCCGCAATAGCCACCGTTCTCAACTGTCCCGTCTCCTTGTGAATCTTCTCCAGCGCCTCGTTAATCAGCTCGATGGTCTTTGAGTGCATCTCGTGCGATTCGTGAGCGAAGTTTAGACGGAAGATGTTCACGCCCTTCATGATCATTTTGTATATGGTGTCCGTATTCCTTGAACTGGTGGATATGGTTGCGATCAGGGACACCAGACGTTGGTGTGAGGCGGTCTTCGAGATTTCCAGCTCGCAGATGTGGTTCAGCTCGGTGGAGCCCTCCCTGAGCAAGGTCTTTGCGGAGTACGACATGGTTATATTCAAATTGGGGAGGGTTTATAAGACTACTGCAGAGAATTTTGAAAAGTTGTTTTCTTATTTTTAAAATAAAATTGACTATAGTTTATATAAGGTCTTGTGACATATTACGAAAATGAAAATAGGATTCTAAATCAATTTAACATATTTCAGAGCCACCTTAATGAATATTAAGCCCTTTACTTGTCATTAAGTTTAGATAAATATATTACCAACTAATAATGAACTTAAATAATTTAACCCTTTCAATATGATTTCCTTTTCATGGCATAAATTAAAACATCGACTTCTTTTAATTTTCTTTCAATCATGTTTTATTTTTCTATTTTTCGCATTTGCTTATCAAAGACTCAATGGACGCTACTTAAATAACGATACTAGTTACATAAAATAATTAAAATTAGCACTTACAAACGCTATTAAATTAATTGGAGCTAATTGCTAACTACCTACATACTTCGAGTGCTTAAGTACATTGACTTTAGCTTTTGATTCAGCTTTAGCTTAACAGCGACTACAACTAATGGCAGCACATGCACTACAGTTAATTAGGCTTTAAATAATAACGCTAATGTAAATGCTTTGCAAATGAGTTTAAATTAATTGAAGAGATGTGGAGTTGAACGTTAACTGAAATGGAACGAGAGCTATGTCTAATTTGTCCGATATGTGTGTATCTTGGTTGGTTGCACTCCTAGCCCTAGCACGGACTATCTGCAGCCGCAGGACTCCACGACCATGTTGGGCAGGGTCTTCACCGTGGCCGAGCTGCTCGAGTCCATCACGACCAGCTGCAGCGAGGAATACTGTTTGGCAGTGCAGCAGGGCACCAGCTCCAGCGATTTGTTAGCACCGCTTGTGGAGAGAATTTTCTGCAATAAAGAGAAAGAGGATTTAATTAATATCAGTTAGAAAATATTGTATTTTCAGGACACCTACCATCAAAGAGCTGTGGTGGGAAGCCGCTTGCGTCACACTCGCCACCGAGCTGCAGGATCCACGGCAGAAGTACGCATTGTAACCCTCCGGTTTCAGGATCCAATTGCTCCAGCCAATGTCCTTGAAGGAAATGTACAAGTGTTCCCGGCAGCACTCGGTCATGCCGCTGGAGCAGTTGACGCTACGCTTCTGGCGGCTCTTCCTCCGCCTGTTCTGCATATCGATCATGATGAACGGCCGGTAGTCCTTGTCCACCGAAATGATCTCCTCCATGTCGCCGACCTCGCAGCCCGTGCAGGTGATTTGAATGAGATGGCTCAGATCGTGATCGCCGATCCAGCGTTTAATAGGCCATTCGATATCGATTTTCATCCATTCATCTGAAGGTAAAAGAGAAACAGATAGAGTTAGCTATAGTTTATAGTTCCTAATCCTAATCCTAATTCTAATACCGTTTCAATTAACTATTTAAGTGGCTTTTCCGGTAATGGTTTCAAAGCATTCATCTTGAGCTTTTATTTAAGAACATTTTATATATTTTGTTCCTATTACCCGCTTGAGTTTTTGCTATCAATCAACTGACCCGAGGAACTCCCAAATTCCAGCTTCGGGGCAAAGTTCAGTTGGCAATATTTTGGCATGTTATTCACCCACACGAATCCGAAATTCAGAGCTTCGAGCTGCTATCACGAATCTGCACAATGATCTGTCTAATTGAAAACACAAACATGATGATGGAGCTGGCGGTTCAGCGGCTGTCAACGCTGCCACTTATCGGTCAGCGTTATAATAATTATTATAAAACCATCTATTATATGCTTGTCACTGGCTTTGATTTCTCTCCTAGGGGTATTTGGGGTCAGTTTTGGCTGTTTCGTTGCTGATCAAAGGTCTAAACGCGTCTTGATTACGTCTTGGGGACGGATTCCACTCCACCACTCACCTTGCTCATTCACCGACTGCAGAGCTATGGTCTTGGCCACCGGCAAATACTTTTTGTCCTTCTTCTGCTCCACCTCCACCTCGGAGACGACAATCGTCTGCCTCGAACTGGTGCTGTTCAGCGAGGAGGATCCATTCTGGATGGTTGTGGTGCGATTCTGCTTGTTCTTGAACAGCCACAGGACGGCGGTGCTGACATCAAAGCCCTCGGCATCATCGATCTTGAAGCTGAAGCACATTGAGGGTTTTCCACTCAAGCGATTGCACTCGACCTCCTCTGTAAGGCGAAAGGATTAGGCTTTTGTTAATATAAGTTACATTTTAAAGTTGTAAAGGACTTGCTTACCTCTTTTAAGCAGTATAAACTTCTTGCTGGTTCTCGCATAGTAATCATCCAGCTCTTTGTTCTTGGAGCTGTCGTCCGGATGGGACAGGCTCACGCCGTCAAAGATTGGCTTCGGCAGCTCTACGGCAGATACGTTGGGGCTCTCCTTGAGCCGGAGCTTCTCCAGGATCTGCTGCTTGACGAACTCGATGCGCAGGTGTGTCAACTGCTCCTCGGTGATGTGCTCCACCTGGCGATTGCTTTCGCATTTGGGACAACCGCCGCCGCTGGACTTTACCGATATGGTAATATTCTTCTCCAGCTCAGCTTCGGGAACCAAGGGAGGTGCCACAGGATCATCATCCTGTTCCTGTACCTGATCTTCATCCCGCTTATTCTCCTCCGCCATCAGTTCGTTGCGGACAAAGTCCAGCGGAGAGAGATCGAGCTGCTCCTCGGACGGAAGGTACGAATCCTCTGGGGCATCACCGAACATGCGCGGATAGTCCTCGCTCTCCACGGGATTCTGTTGGCGGTGGGACTTCTCCTCCTCCTCCATGAGATGCTGCCAGAGGCGGGGAACCTTCAGCTGCTCGCCGGGATGGTTGTAGCTCAGCTCCTGTTTTAGCTGGTGCTCCCGCTTGTGGATGGCATGGAGCCTGAGGCGGGCATAATACTCCTGCTTGGTAATCGGCGCTTCATCCTCCTCGCTGGTCGGATCCGGTTCCAGGTGCTTGATCTGGCGGGAACGCTGCTGCCGGATGTGGTGCTCCTGCTGCAGCTGCTGCGACGTGTGCTGGACGTGAGGATGGGGCTGGTGTTTGGGATTCGGGCGCAAAATATCGCCTCTGGAGCTGGGATGCGAACGGGCGTGCAGACGGTTGTATATGTTATTGTTCTCCAAAGCCAGACACGCCAGCAGAACCAGGATAATAAAATATTTGGCCATCTTTGTGTTTGAACTGCGTTACGTGCTCTTTCAATTGATTGATTTAACCAATTTATATTCACTTGTTATTCTTTCACTCAAACTTTTCTGCTGGGGCTGATTGCTATCTCTTTGGCAGCATTAAAAAATCGATTGTAGTGGCTTTTCGATTTACAAAACTCATAGAATTGCAGCGAATTTCACTTTTAGTTGCCGTTGTAGAGCCTGATTCAAGCCCTTTTTGAAAACTGATTTTAGAATTTGTTGGATTATTGCAGGCGCCTTATACGCTTGGATGCATGATGAGCACCTTTGAGATTTCCTTTGGTCTTGACTGCAATGATAAAAGGGAAGGCAATTGGAAATTAGTAGAAGTCAAAGGCAGATTTTTAGCTAATTATTAAAAGTTCGATTTGGTAAACTGTTTTAAAGGATATTTTGTTGAGATCCTGTATCTAACAAATGTAGTAAATAGCTTTTAATAAATATAGCACATTGAGCTATCTATCTTAACTAGAATATAATTAACTAAGCCACTGGCACCTGCATTTATCACACTCTAAGCCCGAGTTCTCACTTAATATTTCACGGAATTTCATCATTTTTATTTTGCCTTGTCAAATTCATAGATCGGCAAAGGCAGCAAAGTGCAAACTTTTTGACATTAATTTCTATAAGATTTTGTTTCGATTTCAAAAGCGGGAGAGATACTCGAGCACAGTTATTGCGCCTTATCACGGCCCGGATGAAATTGCGCTATAGCTATGTATATACATTCATAGGTGAAGCTATAGCTTTAGGTTAATCGCCAATCGGGCTAGGACTCGGATCGAGAGCGTAGTTTTCGCAGAGTTGCTGATAAGCAGGTGCAATTAGGTGGCAATTAGGTAGGACCCCCCACGTACCGCACTGTGATTATTTTATTGGATTCTGATGACTTGGCACTCGATCACTTTGAACCCGGACACGAAATGCGATTGGTTATTTGGCTTTGCTTTGGGTTTTGACCGCGTATCAATGTTTTTCTTTATTATTATTATTATTTTTTTTGTTTTATTGGGAGTGCGTTTCCTTTTCCAACATGCGGCAGCGCAAACGAGTTGTGAATGAATGAAGCAGTTGAGTGATTAGTAGAACCATTTATGTGACGATCGCTGATTGATCATTCAGCGAGCGAGAGCGAATGAGTCGCGAGGCCACCCGACGGGTAGACGAAGTCATACCCGATGTTACCCGATCCCAGCCGACGCCACCCGAAGCCGGCACACGATCGTCGTAATGGCGAGCTTTAAATTTCGCAGACTTCCCATGGTTTATGGTTACATGGCGGCGCTCTCGCCGAAGACAATTGCATGTGCAAATCGTAGCGGTCATTGCATCAGCTTCGATGCACAAAGCTGCATAAATTCTTGCTGGCTTCTTGTTTTATTTCTTTTTTTTTTTTTTTGGGTTGACTTTATTTTTAGGCTTCCGCTGCCCACCTGTGTGAGGCGCCACGCCCCTCGTCGCTATCGCATTGCTGTGGTTTCGTTTTTGGCAAGCGTTTGGCCGCAACGGGGGTTTTGATACCAATTGAATTTATGAGCGGATCGCGGATCGAGTGGCCCATTCATGCTAATTGCCCCGCAGCGCTATCAAGCTTGACTTTGATGATCCGACCCGATTGTGTGTCAATCAATTAATAGTGAGCACGTTGCTGATAAGCGCTCCGAAGCCCACCGCGAAATGCTTTATGGTCCACAAACGAGGGCATGGAGTATGGAATTAAGCCATTAACCATGCCCACTATTTGATTTACGCTGTCCCGGCTAATCGGATTCGGATTCCGGCAATCGATTAAAAAATCACTCGCATTCCAAATGACTGGCGCCCCTTAATTGTCGCTTGTACTATTTCCAATTTCCATTTCCATTTCCAATTCAAATACAAACAAAAGTGTTGGGATCGGGGAAATTTGCGGGGACTTTCACGTTTATATGTTTATTTTCGTTGGGGGAATTTCATCAGCCAGCTGAATTTCTTTTATTTTACTACGCTGTTCTGGTCTCGGCTAAATGTGGAACAGTCGGGTAAGGTCAAGAAAACTGTCTATAATGTACATACGTACAAACGTTTGTATATGAAGGCTAGCACAGATCACGAGTTATAGTCGTATTATACTTCAATTCAGTTCGATTTCCGAGCAGAACACGTGCCTGCTGTGCTTGTCACGAACCGGGATTTTCTAAAGCCAATTAGATCATCAAAATTAATAGAAACTAATAATATTGTATAGAAAGATGTTGATGTCCATCAAGTATGTGGTTGGCAGGCTGAATAGGCCTCGGAGATTAGCGAATTTATTGCAACATTGTGTAGGAGTTGAATGACAGATAAGTAAGGCATATGACTTAATAAGGACATTATTATAAAGGAGCTAAACAGCTATAGAATCAGGGATCTCTAATCTCTAGGCCGTAGCTAATGGTTCATAAAATTGTTATTATTATTATTTTTCCATATACAATATTCTCATTTCATTCTATATATTTAAAATGAAAAATCAGTTGTTTTGAATATTTCCTAGAAATTCGCTTGTCAGCAAACCTAAAGGTTATAGATCTGATCAATTTCCTGAGTCATTCGAACTTCCAACTATCTGCGAAACTACTTTGACCAACTCATTGAAGCAGTTTAATTAGTTTAATCTCACAAAATGAAAAGTAATTTTCACAATAATCGAAAATTTCAAACTCGAAATTTCCCAATCATAACGATTACGTCCTTGCCTTCAGCATAGGTCGCCCCACTTATCATCTCATCACATATTTTTCCACAACCAATCTACGTAGATTGTCACGTTCCAAAATCTCGATTTTTTCCACACCACACAAAGTGACGTCCATCGTAACAGCCTTGGGGGGCCCATTACAACAGATCGGATCAGAACGGATGGGATGGGTTGGATCGGTCGGATCAGGAAGTACGGACTGGCACACTTTCCTTGACGTAATGCCAGCTCTGCACTGGCTGCTGCAGTGCAACGCCTGACCGACTTATCAAAGAAATCGATCCGAGGCGTGCGCCGCCGCCGACTTGGGCGACGAAAAGGGGGTCGGATTGGAAGAAGCTCAAGAAGGTCACTCAACGCTCGGCGCTCGCGGCAGCGGGCTACGTCATCGAGCACGCCAGCGGCGCGTGATTCGATCCGCAGCAGAAACAAAGCCCAACTCTGCCGGTTGCCAAGCCAATGCAAAATCGCAGCTGAGAGAGTCAAGAGTGGAGAGTGGGGAGTGGAGAGTGGAGAGTGGAGAGTGGTGTGGAGTTGGAGTTGGAGCTGGATGCGTTCAGCGAGGTGCAAAGTACAGCTGATGCACACAAAAAAATTATCTTCAGAATAAACTCAAGAATTTAAATGTTAAAATCTTGCCCTAGGTAATTGCAAAAATTTTACATAGAAAATAAAATGAATGTTATACTAAAGATTCATTTTCAAAATGGTATTAATTAATAAGAATTCTTAGGAAGAACTTATGTTATACTAAGTATTCATTTCCACAATGCTAATAATTAATGAGTATTTTTAGGAAAATATCAAGACACGTGTCTAGAGCATATTGGGTTTTACCACAGCTAAGTTTTCGATTGGTTATATAAAGATATTCAACAATTCCGAAAGAACTCATATTTTAAGATATCATTTATGAAACCATATCATAAATTTTCATATGAAACCAGATCGTATTACGTGTCATTATATTTGTTTCGCTCTGTGTGAAAAAGAAGGGGAGCCTTCTGCTCTGCTTGGGGGTTTTCCATGCCGCTGTCCATATCATTTTCGCATTAATTACGGGGCAGCGGCCGGGGCTATCGTAAGTGGCTGCCATTATCACTGGCCGCTGCATTTCTCTCGCCTGCAGTTGAATGCACTGCAACAAAATGGGGGTACCACCTCTCTTGTTTTCGGCAATAAATCCCAAGATTCCGATCCCGATCCCAATACCGATCTCGATCACGCTGTTCACGGCGATCATCGACCGGGAGCATGCCTCGCAGTGACCTTTGGAACCGTTCACGGAGATTGCCCAGATTGACAGCCGCAGCGCAAATTAGTACTTAATCTGTCTTAATACTTTTTTTCGCCACACGTTCTTAGGCGATGCCTTTATAAATTAGTTTCAGGATTTTGCTGGGATTTGTGTTGCCAATAAATTTTGGCCATTTTGGCCAATTCGGAAGCTCTCCGGCATTAGCTTTTGAAATTTGCACACGTCGGTCAAGAGCTTTTGTAGGTTATGCGGAATAGGCTCGAAAAAAGAAAAGATATTCATCAGCGGACGAGTGGCAATCAATCACGGAGGAGGAGGCCTCTGATCGATATATTGTTCGTTGAACACCTTGATTAGTTTTTAATCAGAGAATGAGTTTCCGCTATGATTTCAGAAATTTCCATGCTTCGGGTAAAGCCCAATTATTCTGATATCGATTTTATGATATTGTAGTCTCTTCACAATTTTATTTCACCACAAAAAACACAATCTAAATTGGGGTTCGCACTCTTGTTTATTAATTATGAATCCATGAGATTGTGATTTTCTTCTAGCTTTATTGATTGCTTAAAAGCTTGGAGATTGTTTTAAGTCGCCATTTATTAGTTCACACATTTGCACATTTGTGTAAAAAAAATATATACTTTGCGTTATATAACTCACCTAACTGAATTATAATCCGTTAAAAATTTAAACTGCTTTCCTGGGATGCCTTGCGAACGTCCTTGAATATTTATTTTTCCTTTTTAATTGTTTTTGCAAATCATTTGCACAGAATAATCATTGTTTTTATTTCACCATTTGAACTTGATCTCCTCGGAGTGACAAGCAATTATTTATTAAACAAAACAAATCCGTTTCGATCTTTGCTTTCTGACCGAAAGTGTGTTTTCACTGAATTCCACCAAAGCCACTAAGTATGTTTTGAGATTTCAGAAGTATTGTGTGTCACCACTTGGTTGATTATTTCTCGATTTAATTTTTGGTCCGATCGTTGGGAACGTCTGCGTGTGAATAATTCCACGATGGACGGCAGCGACCGCAAAGGCTGCCCTGGAATATATGCGACAATGGTGTGGGTATGGGTGCGGGTATGGCCCAGTCTGCAGGCGGTAGACAGGCAAGTTGTTTGATAACAGCCAGCAGAGCTGTGATTTGCCAAGTGATGCGCAATTTTTTTTTATTTTTCCCGAGAACGGGAGCGACAGAGACCGGTGATCTGATAAGGCTCGACTTTCCCCCCTCTGCCACGGCATCACTCTCTCCGGCAGCAGCGCTCCAAAATCCGGTTGACACTCGGCTCGGTTCCGATCGCCTCCTGCGTCGAACACCCACGCCGCACAGTGGGCGAGGTAAAAACTTTTAATAGGACAAAAACTTAATGCAAATTTCTGCAAAGCAAGACAGTTTTGTAGTGTCTTTATGTATGTATATTTTTAGTTTTAGTTGTGGTACATTTATTGTGACCATATAAATATTCAATGATATAATTTAAGCAACATATAATTATGAGCTGTATTTACTTTAGATAAAGTATTTTAAAGCCAAAGAAATTTGATAAATAGTTTAACGTGTTTCAAGTTGGGCAAGGCACTATTTTTTGTTGTCAATGTTTTGTGCTAACAATATTAATATTATCATGTTTTCATCGAAGATAGCACGATCTGTGTTGTATCCACACTTGTTCCACTGTGCTCCGGCCATCGAGCTTCCAGCGTCAAACAAGTTGCAGGTCTGATGTTGGAGCTTGATCGCCAGCCGAGCGCGCGGCATTCGTCACCCGAAACGTGAGCTGACGTCGGCCGGGGTATTCTGTGTCTGTGTTCGTTCCAACAGGTCCAAAGTTCAGCGCCTGCCGGCTCGTTTGATAGCGGACATTTCTCTTTGGGGGCTAAATGTGGGTAACGAAAGCGTACCGAAAGCGAATCGCACTCACACGCCCCGCCGATACCCATCGCCTGCATCTGATAAGCCAAAGTCTGTTTTTGTTTGGTCCCTTGGCTAGCTAATCGCTTCATTTTGGCCAATTTACGATGAGCTTTTACGACGTTCTTGAGGTTTCTTGTTTTCGTTTTGCCTTTTGTTTCGGTTGATTAGCATGTGTGATCGAATATTTCGGAGTTTTCACGCCCGTCGAGCATGGGCCTTTCGAGATTACCATGGAGGACTATAGTATGTAAATTGTTTATATAAATTAAATCTTGCTGAGGCTCAGCTTTCGGGCCACATGACGAGCGACTGATTAAGTCTGCCTCGGATTTTTGCTTACCTTGAAACATCTCAATAAAGCATTCACCTTACTCAAACCTAATCAGATCAGATTCAATATTTAATATTCAGGATCGAGTCACGATCCCTGCCGAGCTCCTCCTAAATTCGAACTATGGAGCGCGTGCTGAAAAACACGTCACAAAACTAGGCTTATCGATGCCGGGCCTCTCAGAAATTCTAATTTTATTAGAAACAATGTTTTAGTAGATTTAGTAAATCTACACTGAACCGATTACCTAATTTGTTTTACCCTTTCTTAGGGAATTCCGACTTTCGAATAAGGTTTGCACAAGGAATATTAAAAAAACTTGATTGGTGGATGAATTATAGTTCAGAATTAAATATATTACTGCAGTTCATTTTTTAATTTCAGAATTATTCATCTCATTAAAATGATTAATGGTGGCCTTGCTTGTCTAGACTTTGTCATTGCATTTGATCTGGAAAGCACTACGTATACGCTTTAAAAATGTTTTAAAAATGCGCTACAAAGTTCAGGCTCCAAGCCACCTTCCCCAAAATTGAAAATACAAAATATTTCCGGCAAGCGAATATTGAAAATATGCTCATTAAGAAGAAGGCTAATATATATTCATAAAATATTAGAGAATATATGGTTTTAACCAAATAAAATGGTTGGTTTTATAGGTCCCACAAGAGCAAAGTCTTCTGATTACAGAGGATTTCTTGTTGACAACCGGAAAGTAGCCAGACATAAACACAAATGTACAATATTAATTCTATATATACTTTGATAACCATTGATAACACCCACGACTTTCGATTTAATTATAAAAAGGAATACAAAAAGTCCACAGAAATAAAAATAATCATTAGAGCGCAGATTAGTAGTATATGTTATGTGTAGGAGAGCCTTAAGCAATTCGTCAAGGCTGAATGCGATTTGAAATATTATTTATTTACATTTGCTTGCTAAGAATGCAAATGAGGTATTAAATTATAAAAGTACCATTGGATCTCCATCTACATTATTGATATATAAACATTATCAAGTTATTTGTCATAGATAATAAAAATTAAAAGGTCAAAGTAGATCTTTAGAATTTAAAGTACAAACTCTAAAAGAATATTCACTCTGACGTCTCAATAAATGACAATACTACTTGAATCGAATTGATCACAACTCGATGATTCGATAGTTAATTATTTGTGATTCCAGTTTTAACTTTATTTTATAAGCATTAGAAATTATAAACACAAAGCAAATGATTCACATATTTCTATAGGTGAAACAATGTCTAAACATGATCGAGTTTTAAATTCTATAAAATTTATATATGTTATTTAATACAAGATTACTTATTTAATTTTTTTTGTTTTGCCCTATGTTGGCAGGAAGAAGAATGTGTTTTTTTTGACACAAATTGCTTGTGATTACTTTGATTTTAAAGACCAAACCTTTATTATTGATTCTGAGAACGTCTTTTCCATGGAATAAATATCTTTGGTTTTTATAAGCCTTAATAAATTCCATTTTAAGATAGCTTAAATTTCGTTACATTTTTCGTTTCGATTAAAATAAAGCTAAAAATCATTTAGCAATCTCATTAGCATGTGCTCACGGATGGAGGGTTTTCGTTGGAACAGGTGTTGCTCCGATTGTGCTCTGTTCATGTGGGCTCAGCGTGAATCCTCGAAGAGATAATCGAAAAGAAGCCAAAAATAATTAGCCAGCTCTTGCTCGGGCTACAAGGAGTGAAATTAATTAAAAATTCAACTGAATGAAGGGGCGCACTTAATCAGTTTTCGCTGGGGGAACTTTCCGTTCGCTGTGTAAATGCGAGGCAATTGAAACCAAGACCGAGAAGTAGTAATTGCGAAGACCCAAATGACATTGTACCAGCTCGATGTGATGGTCCGAATTGACAACTTTGGACTTTGGAGCACTCGAGGCGCCTGCATTCGACGCTTGAGAATCATTGGGAATCCAGAATTCTGACTCGGAGCAGCAGACAGACAGGCTAGACGCCATCGGGCTGTGCTTTTGGCGGCGGGGGTATATTTAGATTTTCTCTCGGGGGACAAAGTCCACTTACGAGTCATGCGCCAGACGTGTGAACCAAATTCGAATTTTATCGAATCGCACTCGCACTCAATTCACTCAATCATCTGGCTGCAGTAAAGAGCAATTAACGCGAATTGCCAACGCGGCCACGCATGCAGCTCGTGTCCGCCGGAATTTCGAAGGGGCGGGTTACCCCCTAACCGTCCGGAATTCGAAATCCGGAATCCGGATGATGCATAGAACAGACCCCACGAATGCCCAGTCGTGACGTCCCTCCGATGTCCACTCTGGGCCAAGAGATGACGCAGTTGGCACTCGGTGGTTTACCCGCAATTTGCCTTTCTTTTCAACGCCTTTTGCCAAGTGATGTATAAATAAATCGGTGCTTTATTATCGCCGGCTAGTGTCCGATCTAAAATTAGCGCTATATATTCTCGTTTACTTTGTTAAATTATTTTGGGTTGATGTGTGGTCAGTTTTATGCTCTCCCAGAGACACTCGAGCCATGCGGTGCCACACACATGCCGTGAATTAGTGGGAAAGGTGTTAACGAGCACTCCCAGCGGGTTAATCAAATCAATCTGACTGTCAAAATAGTGTAAATAGATAAATTTAGACGATGAGGAAGCAATCTGACTTGGCGAATAATTCAATCAATCTGAGAATTGATTTCGGTGACTAATAATAATATTCTCAAAGAGGCAATAAAGATGTTTTTAAGAAAGTTTGCAGTTAGATGTACTATAGCTTTTCTTACCTGTTTAGAATGAATTTGGTGCCAAAATATCTCATTAAATACTTTTATTAACATTATTAAGGGGTTTTACAGAGTCATTCTGAGTACAGAGGCTGAAGAAGTATTCACTCTGAGCTCTTAAGAAAGGACTTTTGTACAATCTGAATCGTATGGATCCACAACTCGATGGTTCCATATGTCTCAAACTTTCTGATTAGCCAAATTAACCTTTGTAATATCAGCCAATAGGGTCTGAATGATTCATATATATTTCGATTGGTGAAACAAAGTCTAATATGATAGAATTATCAGCTGTCGAGTGACGACGATTAAAAGAAATTAAAAAATTTTGCAAAAACTGCCGAGTGCAGATTTTGACTTCAGATTCATGATAAGGTGCATATATATATACACTATGTAGCAGCAGCCAAATAAACAATAAATATGCAAACACTTTATAAGTTAGAATAAGGCACGTGTAGCCTTGCCCTAACCTCGACCACCAAAAATATTGATACCAAACAAAAAGTAAATAAAAAAAACATAGGAAAAAACCAGAACAAAACTACAATCTAATCTAATAATGCAGGCAAGCGGATTTTAGGGGAAAGTGGAGCATTCCCTCACCGATGCGCTGCCCCACCTGCCGCAATTTGACACAGAAATGGCCCCGATATCAATCGATTGCCTTCGATGACACAGCAACCCCAATTGCAATTGACCACGGCCGGATCGAGCGCGTGCCGCATTCGCTTATCGCCTAAGGGGGAGCAAGTTCAAGTGCCACTGCCCACTGTGCGAAGGCGATAACAGCCACTGTGCGGCGGCGGAGATAAGTGCGTGAACGAGTGCGTGTTTACATACCGCTCTTCGGTTCAACCATTCATTAATCATGGTGATCGATTGCGATCGGCCAAAAACGATGGCCGTTCAATTAACTTTTCCGGCCATTACTGATCAGGTTCTCAAGATATACAAAATGGCGGGGGGAAATCACGAACTATTCTTGTGTAAGCGTATGGGCAAGCGAATGATAGAGTCGTGAAGGCAAAACACTATCCAATATCGTGATTTACTCAACTTTTATAGATTACTTCTAGTAAGTCATGATATTTATGTATTTTTAAGTTGAGATATTTACTTGACCCTTTTAAATTTAGAATTATTTATAGCCAAAAATATATAAATGGAAGGTATTGTAGATTACCCCGGAAACCTTCAGGGTATACCAAGAACAATCAATACAAAACCAAGAATTAACGAAATTTCTAATTAGATTTCCTCTTTATATTCTCTCTTATATTAAAAACACCCAAAAAAACATTAAAAACAACTTAAAATCAACATATTTTTATAATACCTTTTGTCATTTATTTCTTTATTTTTTGTCTTTTCGTTTGTTTTTTTCTTCTGTTCCTTCGGTCATATTATGTATTTATAATATTTTTAGTTGTTCATCTTCCTGTTTCATGTTGAATTAATCTTAACTTGGTTTAATTATTTTATTTATGTATTACCATTTACTTATAATTTCCGGTTTGTTAATTAGAATAATGAGCAAGTTTATATTAATTTATGTAAGTATGCGCTTTTTTACTTTTATCTTAACAGTTAGGTTTTTTGCAAATATTTTTCCTTTACTTTTACTAATTCTTAAAAGTTTTCATTTACTTTAATCTATTAGGTGAAATTCTTTGTAGACTTTTCATCCAAAATTAACAAAAGCATTGTCTATATATGTTATCTGTGTGTGTGTGTAGGGGTGTGTCATAGGTGAGTGTGTTTGTTTAATAACAAAAGGTGTGTGTGTTTTAATTTATAATTATCCAAATTTGAAGCTTCTTCGAACAATTTCGATATTTATTTTTTGTAAGCCGTTTTTGTGGGTCACTGGAATATACAGATATATATGAATTACACTTGTTTACACATTTATATGTATTTCATACTGTTTTGCTTTTGCGATAAACATTTATATTTTCAAATCTCATAATGACAAATTTAATGAAACAACAATTTCTCTCACAACTTAAAAGTTGCTTGTGTTTAGCTTAGTTTTCTCTTTATTTCAATGCCTTCGACAACAATAACAGAATTTATTTACGTTGAATATTACTTGATAGAATGCCTTGAGTTCCAAATAACGATTTTAGTCAGTAACTGGTTTTTCTAATTGTCGTTCCATAATATAATTCCCATTTTTCTTGAGCTTTGGTCTCAATTTATGTTCTGAATGCGGCAATTAAAAATAAAAACTATAATAAAAAGGACCGGAGCGGCAAATAAGGAAGTGTTTACTTTCTTTGTGTCTGAGATGTCTGAGGAGAGAGAGAGAGTTCTTAAAGAATTCGCCCAATTACATATTCTATGCAATTGTGTGCTTTTTATTTCGCATCGGATTGCTTTTTATAAATGTTCCGTATAGAAAGATGCTTGTATATAGGGTTTATAGAGAGCAAAAGTGTGTGTTTAGTATTATAATAATAGTTCATTTTCGTTTCATTCTTGTGGTTTTGTTTTTAGCAAAAAGCACGATTTCCAAAAAGCAAAAATCGCATTGTCAAAAATTTGATTTAATTGGTAAGTTAATAATGGTAGTTTTAATTGTTTTTCTTTTTGTTTTCCATTCCATTAAGACCAATAAACATTACAATCGTTTTTCGTTCTCGTATTCATTTTCTTTTTCAATTTTCTTTTGCTTTTTTCAATATAGGTATTCATATGTCTTTAGAAAATTATGGACTACACATACAAACATTCGATTTCCTTATAAAAATAAACAAACATAGAAAATGTTGCAGAACGTTTATTATATTATTAATACATCTGTAAAGAGTGTCCTTTAACTTGTTACTTTGATATGGAATTTGTTTGTTTTGTTTTTTTTTTTTGCAAAAAGTTGAATACATAAATATGTTTTATTATTTTCGAGTTGAAGTTATGCGAAGGATGCAATCTATATGCAATTTTACAATGGATTCTTGCTCGGATCCGATGAGAGCAGGAGTGAGTGAGAATGTGACCGATGAATATAGTGTGAGAGAGAGAGGGAGAGGGAGTTTTAGAGGATTGTGATGGGAGGGGTTTTTTATATTGTGTGTTATGCCTTCTCTGGCCTACCAGGTATTCCGTGTCCTTCAAACTTTCAACTGCCTCAGCACAAGCTCTCTCACATTCTCACCACTCTCGCCGCTTAAAGTCAGTCAATGTCCTCAGTCACACACACATGCATCACACACCCAAACACACTCACACATTCCGGTCCAAAGACGCACATCAAGTATACGCACTGGTGTACCGCTCAACATGCACGCACTGCAACATGATCATAATTCGTCGACATTGTCATCGTTTAACAAACAGCGCTTACGAGTTACGACTTACAATTGATTACTGGTTTCAAGTTGTGTGTTATAAATAGGGTTTATTACATATATGTATGTATTCTTTATATTAAGTATTCTGCTAATATTTCTTCTAATGCTTGTGTGGATCTTCCCTTGCCTGCGCCGTCTCCATCTGCGAAACACCCAGCCCTAACTAACAATATTATCTAGGTTTCTATGGGTTGTATGAATGCTTTTTCGGTTTCCTTCGACGACCTTTGACCCTTCCACCGTTGACAGCTTATAGCCGTCGAGGCGGTAGGGTCTCGGTGACCTTTGAAATTGCTAATGCTTGGTTAATGACGTTCGAGTTAAATGTTTCGTTTTTATATATATATAGTTCCTTACATAATCGTATTTTATAATTTAAGTTAATTAGTAGTTATTGATTTATAAATTTTGTTACTTAGTATGGATTTGTTTTGTTTTTGTTTTTTTTCGTTAAGTATTTTTAATGGAAGACATTTTTTATACAAGTTTAAGACACAGAAAATATTCTTTCTTTATATATTGTTTTGTGTGTTTCGTAGGTGTTGAGGGTGTTGAGAGTGTCTATGAGTGAGTGTAGATGTGTGTAGGTGATTATGTAGGTGTTTCTATTTATTTTGTTTCATTAAATAGTTTCGTATGTTCGTTTAGAAAAGAAAAGAATGCATAAGTATTTCTAAACTCCGATCGATATGTTAATTTCTAAATAGTAAGTGAAACGTAAACAACAGAAATATGATAACTTTAAAGGTAAATCAGAAAGTAGGAGTAGCTCAGTTATTCGATTTGCTTTTCTTTTCCTCATTTTGTATTATACATATTATGCATATGAGGTTTGTATAAAAATGTATACAAAATAAATTATTATTATTTATTTATTTTTTTTTCTTTTAATTTTTTGGCTCTTTATGTTTATTTCTGCAAAACAATTAAAATATTTTATTTTCAATCGACTTGTTCTCTTCGCCATCATTTAGCTGGTTTTATGTTCAAAATTGGATGTATGTACGATATTAACTGTCTATAACTTTGTTTTTTTTTGTGTACCTTTGTTTTTTACATTGCTGTCGGGTAATTCAAGTCTTCCGTTTGTTCAGTGAATTCGATTTAGTTCGGTTGTAAAATATATATAATACTTTATATTTGTGCGTACGCAGTTGAGTTTAAAAGTAACTCAATCTAGTTATTACTCGTGTTGTACGTTAGAAAAAAGTGGAAAGAAACGAATTATTTATCGGTAGGAATTTTGTTCATTTTGAATACTTTCTTGATACTATATACACAATCTGATCGACTGATGGCTATTTCTCGTTCGTTTTTGGGGTTTTTGCACTCATATTTTCGCGTATTTTTCTGTCTCAATTATTTTGTAATTGGGAGAAAATCACTGACTTTGATAACGGATAAACAAAGCTCGCTCTATAAAGTACCATAATCGTTTAATTTAAAGTATTCAAGTTATTGCACATACAGATTAAGGAAGTTACCTTTAGCTATCGTTTTGCCTAAAACATCTCCTGCAAATTATTGTCTACAAACATATGGATATAAACTCGTTAGTACTTACTATTTGAGTAACGTTGCTCGCGGCTGCAATCCGTCTAATAAATATTTGATTATTACCTTTGTCCCTCGGCTAATGTGGTGGTTGAGGGACTGCTAATAGTTCCTACTTCGGCTTATCAAATCAATTAACTCAAACTGCGTATTTCCCCGGATCAAGAGTGACTCTTCCGCCTCCTCTTCGACAAACCAAATGAAAAAACAAAACCCTAGTTCTCACACTTAGTTCTCAGAGCATCCTTAGTGCTCATATCACGCATTGGCCAGCACAAAGGTCACGGTCACCATCAGGACATGGGCCACGATCACCGAGCCGGACATGTGCAGCAGGGGACTGCCACGGCCGCACTGCTGGATCTCAATCTCCTCCGGATGGTAGTTTATGCATTTCCTGGGTCGTCGCCGGGACTCTTGCTCCTGGCTCTGTCGTCTCGTACTGCAGGCTCCTGCAGGAAAATCAATGATATGGGAATTATAGTAAAGCTTTCCGGATGTAATGTCGTGGAAAATACCCACCAATCACACCCGAATCCTCCAGCGGCTCAATGTCCAGCTGCTTGGAGCCACATGGACACAGAGTGTCCACCACGAGCAGAATGAGATTGCTGTGAGGGATCTTTTGAACGCTAAATGGACGCTCGCAGCCGGAAGCATGGCAATTGGTCAGCTTTCCCTGAAAGAAGATATATATTGGTTTACAATTCAAGGATGTTATGTATGGTACCCACCTTGAGTGGATTGTTCTGACCACCCTGATTAAGCCGTTCAGGCTGGAGCATATACAGATCTGTAGCCAGATCGCAACGCCTGGCGTTCTGAGGATCCGGCGTGAAACGAGGTCCAGCATGGGGTTTATGCTGCCTGGCAGGAGGCGGCGTCGTATATTCCTATAAAATTAAGCAACATTTAATGATTTATTTTAAATTTAATTATGTATAATACCTACCACATCGGCGGTGGTGAAGAACTCATCCATTTCCTGATCCACCGGCATGTTGTATTCATTTCCAAACTCATATTCATCCGAGTAATTGTTGTCCACAAACACAACATCCTCGTTGTCGTAGGTGTACTCGTCCTGTGGCCAGGCACGCAGCGAGGCTGGCATTAGGGAAAGCCAGGTGGCACTCAGGGCCACCAGGTGACTGAAGAACCAGGAGCCCAGGCGATTCGGTTTCAGGATGCCACCGGCAGCCGTGTATGGATTGTCGGCATCGGAGCAAACCCCTTGATAATCGTTGACTGTCACCCGCTTGTAGATCCGATCCTGTACCAAGGAGTCCATGATGGTGCCATCGATCTGTCCAAAGAACTTGCCCGTATGCTCCATCTCCTCGGATATGATTACAAAGCCACTGTTATCCAGCACATAGCAGTCCAGGTTGTCTGAGGCGCAGGTTCTCTTGCAGCCCGTCATTCCAGTGCACTGTTAGAAAATTTCTTAGTTTGGAATAATAATTACAAGAATAAGTAACAACTCACGGCAGAGGTGATGTTTATAAAGTGTTTGGCCAGAGAATCGTGCTGGAATTGGAGGCCAACGACGCCCGCCGGTGCCTTGTGTCCGCGATGCTCCACAAACATGGCATGAGAGGCTGTCACCAAGGTGGCATTGGACTTGATGGCATAACCAGAGCCAAAGGGCACGCTGTACACAAAGCTATCCGGTTCCACCGAGTGCTGGTCTACGGCTCGCTTATACCAGGATGTGTCCATGGCTCTCACATTATCCTCGCTAAAATGCCTACATGAGTGAAAGAGTTGTTTTATGAATGGAAATGGAAAGAGTATATAAATCCTCACGGTTCGGGGGTATCCTCGGGTCTCTTGATGTGGTCAATCCAGCGCAGAAGACCCGACCTTGTGGCCACGAACGAGGTGGCAACCACAAACTTCTGATATCCTTGCCTAGGAAAACAAAGAAAATGCAAATTAGATTTCTCAGAATTGGTTCAGGTTTCATAATTCAGGGCCAGCGTTAAGTAGATCTACGGGATATTCCTTCAAGCCTAATCCGTGGGCTGGTCCTCTAAGGCAGTGGCATTTATTCAAAGCTACTCCAACTCCATTCAAATTACTCATCGATTTACCTCTTTAGTATTGCCATTAATGTGGCGATTGGACTATAGAAATTAATTTATTTTAAAATTGTGCATTTTAAAGTCAGAAAATTAACATTCAATAATTATTTGCAGTGGGGGAGAATTTTTCGTATTATGGTTATTCATGTGAAAAGTACAAGGTATTAGCAAAAGAAGAGAGAAATGTTGGCCATCAAAGAAATAGAGTGAGGAAAATATGTGCGGAGAGAAAACAATTTTTCGGTGCTTTAGTAAAGTTTATAAACGAAAAGCCAGAAGCAAGTTAATAAATGTATAAACAAGTAATATGGTGATAAATAATAAAAAATATTTAAAAATGTTGTAAAATATATTGAGTGCTTTTAAACAAAGAAATAACAAAATCTAATTTCCAAATGCTCGGCAAACTTACTGCTTATCCTCCTTGCCGCTGGAGGTTCCAGTCGTGTTCCTATCGAGACCATCGGTGACCATGGCGTCGCGCACCAAGCTCTGGATGAGGGTTCGATCGCAATAGTAGGGTTCAGCCTTGCGAGATCCCTGAGAGTTCAGATGCTGCGACCCAAAGTGGCTCGATCCTGGCGCATTGCCGTTGGAGCCACTGTGCATGTTGTGATGTGGTTGCGGTGACTTGGGTCGAACCTGTGGAGGAGAAGAATTTCCCGGATTAATATTATGCTCAAATGGGTGCACTGATCCGTTCCCCCAGAGTTCGATTGCTTACCGACATCCACTTCCAACCGGGGCGTCCGGCACGAGCCAGAAAGTGCAATACCTGCTCCTCTGGTGACCCGAAGCTGGGCTCCTGATCCCGCGAGGAGTACTCGCCAGAGCTCTCCCTTTCCTTCTCCAAATCGCTAACGCTATTGTACTCGCAGTACACCCAATCCGGGTGTACGCGCCAGTTGTCTCCCTTGAAGTATTCGGTAACTGGAAAAAAAAATAAAAAGATTGAAAACCTGTTCAGAAGTGGAACTTTTCCAGGGAAAACTCACCATTGTTACGCGAATGCCGGATCTCCTGCTGGGAGACAAACTCATGGCTACCGTACTTCTCCGGGAGCACAATAGCCAGCGTAAAGGGAGTATCCTCAATGGGACCATAGAAGTATCTGTGTGTCCTGGTAGACACTCGCTTCGACTCATCGTAATGGTTTAACACGGTAAATTCGGTCTCTCCCTCCTTGGGTCTGATCATGTCACCACGCATCTAAGATTCAGGGATTAAAGTTATAAGAAGGTCTAATATAAAATATGATCTAAATAAAAATATAGATGTGTACGTTGTTTATTTTATATCCTTTGCATATCAGACGCAAACATCATTATCCATTTTAAAAGACACCATCAACCCACCTCGTTGAGGAGATTCTTATTCATCTCAATAATCTCATTGTTGTTGCCAATCTCCGTCTCCGGCAGTTCCAACTCCGTGATATCGACAGAGGCATACTTGGGCTTTAGTTGATCAATATACTGGTTGGCGTCGCTGAGGGGCCGCAGATCCGGATGGTAAAGAGCCCGCCCATTGTTATCGACGATAAACGAATAGCCATTCGGACCCAGCTTGTGCTGGGGGATCACCTTGCGGATCTCCTCGATGGGCACATCGGTGCCCACCACTCCCAGCAGATTGGCGACGCGCACCGAATGGTTTCGTCTATCGAAGACCGGAGTTGAAACTGTCGTCACTAAACGGCGCTGGTACTCCGAGTCGCGTCCCAATCCGCCCGATTTGCCGGCCACGAAGACCGGACTCCAGTGGACGGGATGATCTGCCTGGTACATGATCATAGGTCTGGCCATCACCAGGGCGTAGTCGATCACCTTGCGGCGAGCCTCCTCATAGTCGTTGATCTGGACGAAGAAACCCTTGTTCGAGCAGGCCATGTCATGCAGGTTGCTCCTACTGCCAGAGTCGCTGCCAATTAGGTACGTGAAGATCCTCACTGGCATGTGTGGCCAGTTGTACTGCTTGATCACATCCTTGTGTGACTCCGAGGTGCTCTCCGTGATCAGCATGATGGCCTGGTTGCACTGACTCCCAGCTCCAGATTGGTTGTACTAAAAGAAAGGCGTGAATTCAGTTACTCCTTCTGTTGTCCTGTTCCGGATGGGTTTTCTTACCTTGTGCAGCAAGCTGAAAGCATATTCCAGACCGGCTGTAAAGTTGGCCGTATCCTGCAGCTTTATGGCCTTAACGGCTGACTTGATTTCCTGGATATTATCCGGCGTGGCTCTAACCATGCGATCCTTGAAACAAGGCACTGGCGTCTTCACCGCCTCCGAGAAGGTGATGAGGTTCACAAAGTCGTCCTCGCCCAGAGTATCCAGTATGTTGAAGGCAGTGGCCATGCCCAAGTCAAAAGATTTCTCCGACATGCTCGAAGAGGAGTCCAAGAGAATCATCTGCGGGATTGATTTATATTATATTACGTATATTTATTAGTTATAGAATATGCTCACTATATCCTTGGGCGAGGAGGCTGCCTGCACAAACCAATTGTGCGTGCGAAAGTCATGGATGAGCTTGCTGCCCTTGGAACCCTCTGGGGGCCAGGCAGTGCCCGGAAAGCGCCGCAGGAAACCCGCGGAGGAGCCAAAGTATTGCCAAGACAGGGCCGGATCTTGCTCTAAGTTGTTCTGGAAGAGCGGGTCCAAGTGGGCGCTCCACTGCAGCGCCGACTTGACATCCGCCTCGTCCAAGTCGACGCCGTGCGGCACCAGAATCGAGCTTAGACTGAGATTGACCGGCAGGCGCTCGAAGCGCCGCATGAACCGGATGTCCATGTGGCGTGCTCCATCCGCCAGCTTGCCATCGGCATTGTACTCGTTGATCCGCCGGGCATCATAGTGCTGCTGTCCACCCGCCGGCGATTCCGCCTGTCCCTGGCCCTCCAGCTCCGAGAGTGCCGCCTGCTCGGCGGAGTCCATCAGGCGCTGCAAGAGAGTAAGAGAGAGAGATAGATAGAGAGAGTTGTTGCACATCAATCTGCTTAAATATTTCCCATTTCTCCTCTCCGGCGGATATAAGATTGGGCGTGGGTCGGAACAGTTGGAAAACTTTCCACGCTTTATGCAATTTATTCTCTTGGCGGAGACTTAAATTGCACAAAGCAATGGGGTTTGCTTTGCTTTCTTTTTGGCCAACTTTTAGTTCAGCGTGGTTGTGTACACTGAGAGTCTGTGTGTGTGTGTGTGTGTGCAGTAAGTGTGTGGATGTAATGCAGAGTTTTGTAGTAGTATCTGTGCACAGTGCAGCTTAAAAGTATGCTACCATGTACGTTATTCACCCCCCAGAAGCATGTTTAGGGTTTACTTAGATCCACAATATCAATTCGAAATCGTGGTGTTTTTCTCTCTTAAGCTGTCAAATTGGTTTCAAAAAGAATTGATGCTATATTTACTTGTTTAGACTTTTATTAAGTGAGTTTGGAGAGTTTTAAAACAAAGCTTTATCTTTGCTCTCAGTATTTTTATATAGCTTTATGATTTTATGATACCGTATCATAATTTGTAATGCATTCCCATTTCAGATTCAACAAATCACTGGGACTGCTATGCGGGATTTTGCAACTTGGCGCACAAATTATTCTCACAAGTTTAGCCCGACGGTCCCCACAGTATGCATTTTCATAAGACGCAAACAAGAACTTTAGCTGCAGCGAAATTAGACCCAAAGGGGGCAGATACTTGCTCCGAAGGAGGACAAACACCTGCAGTTACAGACACAGACACAGACCGAAGGGTGGGCCTCCTCCTACTCTCCTTTGGTCCCCGCAGGAATCGTTGGAGCTGGCATCTCCCCCCTTCCACCTGAAGATGATGCTGCAGTGGCCAACGAGCTCGAGCTGCATGTGGGTGCATTGAAATAGTTCAACTACTTTGGCACAATGGGGAATGGAGGGGGAATGGAGAGCTGGGAGTGGGAAGACAGGCTGCAAGATGGAATAAAAATGCTAGAGTCTCTCTGGGGTCCAAGCCCGAAGAAGATTTCAATGTAAATTGGCTGCCGTTGGGCGAACGTTGGCGCCACGGGAATGTGTCAGCGGCTCAGACAAATGGTAGTGAGAGGAGAACCAGAGGGGAGCCCCTGAAAACTTATTTCCAGGTGGAACGACTCCCACTACCACTGCCACTCCCACTCCCATTCCAAAACTCCTTTCCCACTGCTCTCCAAAGTTATTTGCACATTTTTCGAGCGCTCGAATTAGTTAAGGAGTCTTAAAGTTTGGCCAAAAAGGTGTTGAGTGGCAAGCTAGTTAAGGCATTAAATAATAAACACTGCCAAAAGTGAGTCAATAGAGAAAGGAGCACGTCAGGAGTCTGGGTAAGTGAGCGGGTCCTGGCATCTGGGTGGAAACTTCCTTGTGCGGGAAGAGTTCCAATCGGATTTCGAGTCCTTGGTTGCCATGGCCCCAGGGCAGGTACAAGTAGTTAAAGTTGCTGCGAACTAGTTATTCAATTTGGCTGCTCTCGTAGATGTCTGTGGTAGGTGGAAAATAAGGAGGAGTTTTTACCAGACTAAAGTTTTAATTTAAAAGTAGATTAGGAGATTAAATCATTTGTAAATGTGCGAGGTGGAAGCTTTAAACATTTGGAGTTGGAAAAATGCAATTAATACTGTTATCCTCGAGTGAAAATAAATGTTCATGAAATAATAGTTCATTTGCAATATGATTTTGTTTGACAAAATATAAATTTATATTTGTACCTATTATCCTTAGTATCTCAGTTTTCTAAGAGAGTTCAAAGTTATATTAAAAATATGAATTAGGTGGATGTTCTTTACACTTTGCAAGAGGATATGAATCCTTTCATATTTAAGAATCAACTTGATTGTATTCCCAACTTGCTAGCTAAGTAACTTTGAGTTATTTCGTAAGTTTAACATTACAACGAGGAAATCCGAGTTTATTGAACAGTTTCTCATCCCTAATTGATTCATCAATTATTTTATGCAAGTGGCTGGCTGTCTCTCAGACACCCCCATTTTGTTGTCTTCCAAGTCTAGCTATGTCATACCCATGTAAATAATTTCCAACATTCGTAGTCGCTTTGTCTAACACGGCTCGAGATGGGGAAACAAAACAAGAGCGGCAGACAAAACATGGCCGTGTATTATGAAATATTTGTTGCACATTTTTTTGTTCTTTTTTTTACAATATTATGCACTTATGGAAAGGTCGAGGCAGCCCCGACACAGAAGCAAAGTGCACAGGAAGGGCGCCAAAAGTGGGGTGGCTGCGAGACAGAAAAGGGTTGCGTGGATCAAGCTGGGTGGTGCGCCGGGTGACAATGGGGCGTGGATGGGGACCGGGTCTTGGAACAGACCCTGAGCAATGCCCTCTCTCGCACACAATTCTCATTTGACACCAGCTGGCTTCCCTGTCGCTCGTCCGTGCAGCTGTCGACATCTTAACATTCAAAAGCCAACAATGACAATGCTCCCAAGGAGTGGGGTCTGGGACTCCCGGGAGGTGGGTCTCTCAGATCGAGACGGAGACTGAGACTGCGGCTGCGGCTGGAGGAGACCTGCTCGAATGTCAGCGGAGCAGTGTCTGGGCTCTGCCGGAATTAGCAAAATGCAGCTACTTGCACGCAATTTGTTCGCAAGCAACGTTGGGCGTTGGCTGGAGCAACAGCCTGAAAGTATGCTGGGGAAGAAAAAACGAAACCCGCGTTGACCATTTGCCAAGTGAAAAGCCAGAGCCAGCCGAGTGACTGCACTCCTTGCAATCCCTACTCCTTGCCAGTCCTTCGCTGACTTCGCTGGATAATGCAAGATGTGTGTTTAAGCTACGATTTCTGTCCGCCCTGAGTCCTTTCTCTGCTCAGCTTTAGCCTTGGCTTCCCCGTCCTTCTTTGGCGCACATTTTTTTGGTAGCTCAATATATTTGCCGTCTGAATGGACGTGCCAAATGTTGAGGCAATAAGTTTTTCAGCCAAAAGAGAAATTTATATTACGTTTTAATATGGGTTCAACTAAATATTTGATGATGGGACTTAAATGCATGAATTCTCCTTGTGCCAACCCCATGATTAGTGGCTGGGAACGGGTAGAGACTGACATCGAGTGGTTGTCACCTGTGTCTGCCTCTGTCTCCTCTGTCTGTCCAGCAAAATCTGTTGGGTATTTTTTCAGCCACAAGTATGACTGTCTGACTGAGTTGCCTCGCCACAGTCACAGTCACAGTCACAGTCACAGTCACAGTCACAGTCACAGTCACAGTCACAGTCACAGTCGCATCTGATGCGGTCTTCTTTGGGGGATTATAAACGCTTTTTTTCCGGGCCAAAGTGCAACTTTGCATTGTGGTTTGCTTCTTTTCTTCCGGGGCGGCAATGACTTGAGCACGTATGTATCCTCCTAAGCTGTGTGGTTTCAGTTTGGCATAAGCAGCAAGTAAAAGAACCTCATAACTTTAAGCCACATTACAAAAAGTTACATATGTGTGTGTCTTGTTTAGAATGAAAAATTACTATAAAAACTACTTAAAGTCTTTGGGGTATAAGAAAAGGAAATATTATAACTATAAACTGAGTCTTTAACGTTTTGACACAATTAATTCTTTGATGATCAGGAAACAATATCAAAGATCATAGATCTCCTGACATTCATAAATGTGATCTGGTTAGCTTCTCTCTCACAAGTGCAATTACAACGTTAAAGTAGAAACTGTCACGAAATATTTACGCTGCAACGAAGGCTCCGAAGATTGGCCTTCCCTTCTTGGCCCATTTTTTAGTGGCAAAGGCAAATGCTTTTAGTGTGAAGACATTTACTTGCCACGTTGTTGCATGTTTCTATTTAAAACACCCGAACAGCTTTCCAATACACTCGATACACACACACACAGCCATCTCTTCTTGGCCATCCATTTTCTCTCGCATCCGTCTCGCTCTAACTGCTTCTGCCATCTCGCTTGCACAATGTCAACGTCAAAGTGCAAGTGGCATTATAGCAAAGAAGTCAACAGCGAACAGGAAGGCAGGCAGGGGGAGGGTATGGTATGGAGTGCCCTCTTGCCAAAGGAATACGAGACCCGGCAGAGACACTGCGGAAAATGTATGGCTGCTAGGGCAGAATGGGGCGTGGCAGTGGCCCCCTTTTTCCCGCCATTAAATGCAATTTTAAAGTCAATTTTAACTGCGAAACGAATGCAAATAAATGCTGTCAGCGACAGGGCACGAGAGAGTCAGGACACAGCGATTAGTGGGCAGAGTGGCGGCGCGTAGGTGGCAACTTGCCACTGCACTGGCAACAGTTCAGTTAAAGCGGCATTGACAGGCGTTGATAGAAATCGAATTAGCAGCGGCGATTGCCACACGTTGCCAGCACTCAGTGTTGCACAGACCCAAAACCCCGCTCCTTCCGCCCGCCAAGGCCAGCGGGGGGCAGGGAGGAATACAAATTATTACGCATACGCCACCGAACAAAGTGGAAAATGAGATGCATGTGAGCCTGCCTGCATGTGGCTGTGACTGAGTGTGTATTCGTCTGTATCCTTGTGCGAGTGTGTGTGGCATCTGCAGTTGCCTTTATGTTTACAGGCAATTAGCATTTTAATGCCGCACCAAACAAAAGGCAACTGCAGGTGCCCGAGCGAATGATGCGAGGAACGGGGAGAGACAGAGGGGGAAGATGCCACAAGGGGCAGTGCATGTGGGGTGGGGTGGAGGCCAGCAGGTGCTCGCCTGGCCGCGCACGAGTTGGTTTTCATTATTTTCCATGTTCGACATGAACGCAAATTGTCGACGGCAAGTGCCGGGAATTCATAGTGCCAGCCCTTTCCCCTTAGATTCACTTCGATTACCTCCAGTCAAAGAAAGTCATTTTAAGGTTGGTAAAATAACTTATAGAGCCATTGCTAATTAAATAAGCTATCAATATTATGGGGGTCAGAAATGCCTACATTAAATCGATTCAATATTTCTTATTTAGAGTCTTTGTTTATATATTTTCAATCCCTTATAAATAATCAATACAACAAATGGAGCCTATAGAGCGGCTTGACTGATGTTGCAGCTCATTAATGAAAATTGAGGTCAAAAGTCGAGTTCACAAATAATTTAATTATAAGTTGATAACACAGTAATATACTTTTTATTGTAAAAAGCTTTGATTTCTTGGAAAAGTAAAAAAAAATAATCAATCTGAAGATCACCTCATTTGTTGCTTTACTTTAAAGTATTGTATTGTATTATTGTATTGTATAAGCACGTGTTTCACGTTTGTTGTTATTGATATAAAGTCGATGACCTAAGTATAATTATTGCGCAGATAATCGATATATACGATGTTGTTTAGATACAAAACAGATCGAGTGGGAAACGAGTTTAGTTGCTAACATGCCCGTGCTATAAATATAACGTATACGCAATGTTGTTTGTATTTTACCCGTGGCTCAATGCCTGCATGTGCAGTGGTTTATTAACAAATATTTTGGCTTCACAAATTACGATTAGTGTAACATTGGGTTTTGTTTATTTTATTTTATTCACAGTGCCCTAATTATGGCACCAATATCTGTTTATATATGTATTAAGTTCAATCCGCGTATGTTATCCCCTCTGATGCTGATTCTGAACACAGTTCAGGTGAGACTGTAAGTTTTGAATATCGATGACCAGGTTGCCGTTCTTCGAATAGAAGCCACCATTGCAGGCGGGAGCAGCTGCCACCCAGGATCCGGCCATCAGGCAGAGGCATCCAATGAGCAGCAGTAGGACGAAGGTGTGCGAATCCATTTCCAAAGCTAGCCGTTCGTTGCAATCAGCGGAGTGAAACTGTCCGCTTGGGGTGACTGCCGGCCGAGATTATATGCCGGCGTAATCGAATCGGGAGATTCCCACAGTCCAGGGCCGCACTCGAGAGCCGCGAGCGTACTGCGCAGCTAGAGTGCCGCAATTACCAGCCGGGGAACAGGTCAACACAAGTGCTGGGAATCGCTGGGAATCGCATAGCTCTTCCCGTGCAAAAAACTCGTTGCTCGCCGAGGAATTTCCAAAAGCCAATTGCATGACGACTGGACTTGTGTTTGCCATTACCCAGTCAAGTGAGGTATTCTCCACAAAAAAGAACGATTGCCTCGAGCTAAAGAACCCCCCTCTGGGGACGTCTCTGCTGGTCAGAGCTGGTCAAGCGGCTTAAGGCTTAAGGCGCCTCATAAAACCTGTATCTTTCATATCGCAATTAGAAACTGGGCATCGCCCCGTATCTCTTTTCTATTCTGCAGTAATGCTTCTGGTTATGAAAATTACAAGCGTAATTGACACTTAGTAGCTTTTCTGGAAAATCTTTTCTGTTGACCGGTCTTCAAATAAATACTTTATAATATATATTAGTATAAGATAGAATTCCTTAAATCATATAGTTATACCCAAAGCTTTGTTTATTAAATTAAAAAACAAAGATGTTTTCTTGCTTTCCTACATTAATGTAAACAATTACTCAAATTAACCTAAAAAACAAAAAATGTAAAAAAAAAGAAAACATGATAAAATTTCTTGTAAAAAAAGGTATAAAGTACAACCTTAATGTTAAATAATATATATGTGTGTATCATGTTTACTCAGTTCGCATAATTGTCAACATTGGGATGTATATACTTCGATTCCAGGAAGCTCAGGTTGCTTCCTGGTTTCGGTTAAATTTAAAAGAAAACACTCAGTTTGATACCAGGATCTTTGTTTTAAATGAGCAAACAAACACTTTTTGAACTCTCTAAATTGACTTCACCCTGAATTCCGACTGAAATATTTAGTTAAATTGAACATATTTTTGGAGAACTGTATTCAGAGTCTATAAATCCCTCAAGAAGATACCATGCCATACAAAGAAATTACAAAGTAAAATACCGCGAGGATTAAAGCGACTATCCTTATTATTTTTAAATTCAAAAATCTATTAAAGTTCCTTTTCAAGATCCATCCAAATACTAGTTAATAAATACTTGACCCTTAAATAACATAAATAACATAATAAATAATTACATCAAAATTATGTTCCCAAAAAATGGAACTGCTTCACGAGAGCGAACGGTGTTTTCTCATTATAAAACGTCAGCTTTATGTTCTCTGTTCTCTTTTTTGAGATATGAAATATACTGAATTGAATTCTTGATAATAATTTCATTAAGTATTGCAGGAAGATTGTCTACATATTTTGAAATTCAGAACTGTCTAGAGAAACGAGTCTTGCTTATTCTTTCAGAATAAGTTAAGCTTCAAATTATGCCTATGACAGCCAATTAAATATGTACTACAGTATTATTTCTATATTATATTCATTACAAAACAATGTAATTCAAATAACAGGTATCAAGATCTCGACTCCCAATGTCCTTTTGCTTGTGGCGCCTTTCGCGTCTCTTTTTGACTGTTTTTGATGTTGCCACGTCTGTGGTCGGTGTCCATGTAGGTTGATTTTTAATTAATGGTGCTTCCTATGCGCTTTGCTTTAGGACCCGAACTTCCGGCCAGCGGAAGTCACTGAGGGGAGTGGCGAGGAGGGCGGACAGCATCTGCGTAATCTGAAACGATGCGTAGGATGATGTGTGCGTGTCCGCAAGAAACCAGAAAGAGGCCAACTCCAAAAAAAAATATATATATGTATATACGTACATATATATTTATGCGCACACAAAACAAATTTAATCGATATTTTCCGGAAATCATAAAAAATTATTTATGTATACCCACGCACTTGGACGTCGGTCCCTTGGGCCCCGTCGGAATACACATAAAGTCGGCGGCCATGCGATGATTATAACATTTAATTGTTAAGCCGGGCTTACCAACGATGACTGTACCCCGTACATGTGGCTCGTTGGAACAGCACTCGCAGCGAGTTGTAAATAATTTCATAATTAAATTAAATGGATGCGAGAAGTTGATGCAGTAGGGCATATAAAACAATTTGCCATTAGGGTCCCAGAGGAAAACTTTCCAACCAGATGAATGGCCTGACATCGAAGACGAATGACGACGGAGTAGGAGGAGAAGGAGCAGGAAAGGAGCAGGAGCAGGAGCAGGAGCAGGAAGGCAGGCTAAGGAGACACTTTTCCCAAACAATCAATCAAAATGCTTTGCTTGAAATACAGTAAATCGTTTTCAGTGCTTCAAAAAGAGCCATTGGCATTTATAGACAAGCCCAGTGGGATGAGCTGCGTCTTGACTTGGTAAATATTTCTAAAAGTGTATACTCGATGCGAAGTTCCACGGTTAATTAAGTCCATTTTTTTCAGACAGTCAACAGACAAGCGGAGGTAGATTTCACAATTACCAGAGTATTGGTCTAATCACATAGGTGAAATCATTAAATGTGTATATATCGGATGATTATGTGGAGAATAAAGATTCAAGCCGCAAACCAACATATATTATTTATTACCCTACAAAAATTTTAAAAATATTATTCTCTTTGACATAAAGATCGCTAACTGCAGTTGTTGTTGATAAGAATTAAGCGAAAAATACATCGGAGTTCCAATAATAGAGATAAGCATCGAGATTAATTATATATTTACAGGGAGAAGTCTTGAATTGTCTTGCAATTAATTCGATTATTGCTTATAAATATGCTACTGACTACCAATTAGGATCTGACCTATTTTAGCCCCTTCGATAATACACTGAGCATCATTAGCCTCTGGCGGAATCCAGCAAATTATCCGCACAGCGGAAGAACTCCATTGCTTCGTGGGCCCCACTGGGGAACCACAGGGAGAGAGTTAGAGAGACAGACCGCAAGGACCGCAGACAGGGGGCGGAACTAAGGACTCATCCATTGGCCAGGACCTGAGCTTTGGGCCCGTGACATCGGCGGGCGGGCACGCACTCGCAGCAGCTGCGGGCGCCATCAAAAACTTGTGCTTGTGGCGGGGCGCACTTTAATTTCAATTTGTCGCCGACCTGCACCACCACCACGAGTAGTCCCTGTCCCTGTTCCTGTTCCTGTCCCTATCCCTACTCCCTTTCCCCGTGGTGGCCAACCCCTGGCCACTGGGCCTCCGGCAATTTATTGTTTTCCACTTTACGCCAGTTTCCCACTGGAGACGGTGTCCTGTCCGCTTGTTATTGTTTTGTTGTGTTTTTAGTGCCGTCCTCAAATTTGAGAGTTTTCCACCGCCGCTTTTCCCCGTGAGCTTTGAGCGATTGAGCCACTTGTCAATTGTAGATAGCTTGGGGGGATCGGAAGCTCTGGAGATGTTCCTCTCATACATTCAGAAAAAATAATTCGTAGTTGTGTTGAACGGGGCGTATACTTGATTTATTTAAGAGACCTTTTCAATCGACTTCAGAATGTAGTTTATGTCGTTGGATATCAAAATTTAACCTTATTTCCTTAACAACTTAACAATCTTGATCACTCAATCTGTAAATCAGGGCTGTGTCATATTTTTCCAAGTGTATTTTGGGCAGAAAGTATAATATGTAAGCTGAGAGCGAGTAGTCACTTACCATGACAGCATTGCGCTTGAAATCCATAAAGTTCTTCACCTCGGCGGCCAATTCACGCAGCAGGATAATGCCGTCCTTGCGCTTCACTTCGATGTCGTTGTCCTTGAAGCGCTGCAAATGAAACAAAAACCAAAAAACCAGAGCCATCAGATACACAATTCTCAGTACATTTTACAGCTATAAACTATAAAACCGATGGGCGCCGGTTTCAGTACACAAAAAGGGTGAAAGGGTCGTAAAACTTTTCCGCTTTCTCATTGTCCAACATAAAACTCTCATGTACTCCTGAAATGGTTCTCGGCTCAGAAATGGCCGAAAAGGAGCAGAAGGAGGAGCAGAAGGCAGTTCCCATGGCTTCGGGCAACTCTCAAATTGATATAAAATTTTATTTTAATGTATCTTATTAATTTAATTAGGTATTCATTGGCTATGCCCGCGGTTTGTGGCTCGTATTAAAATGAGCTGAGAGATTCAGAAATATTGGTTGGAATTTTGAGGTAAACTTTTAGGGATTGGACAAGGACACGAAAGTCGATTCATGAAAATGTGTCTATGGAAAATACTTGAACCTATGGATACATTTCTGTCAGCAGATTCGAAGAAAACGTATAAATATTTGATTTAAATAAATCACATTAGTCAACAGACATCCTTAATGAGACAAGGAGCTTCGTCCTTGCTCAAAATAATTCAATTATCAGTGAGGTTTTTTAGCTATCTATATTTTGTTTCAAGAGACATGAAGCTTGAAGAAACGCTAGCATTCGTAGATGTGACAAATAAGTGTAATTAAATTTTACATTTCATTGCACTTATCCTTAGGGACACATCAGCAAGTATCCTGTGGCACACACACACACACATTCTAGTTCTAGGAAGATTGTAGCCAGAAGACACACGCATTTAGTGGCCAAGTTAATGGCTTCAGCATGCCGGCTCTGATTTTCCACGTCCCACACTTGAACCCACTCACACACACACACACACGAGCAGATGCCCTGCGCCATTATAATGATTTTTCCATTGAACGTGTTGTCATTTGGTTTAATGGGAAATTCTGATGAGTTTTCTTTTCTGTTTTCCCTGATGAATTCCCATAAGCATAATCGAAAAAGTAGCACTGGCGACCGATGAAGGGGCGGAAGTGCGGAAAAGCGGCAGAAAAATGTCACCCGGAAGCAAATGCATTTTATGACTTTTCCATGCATTTAAGTGCCGAAAATTAGCAATTTAGAAATGGAGTTTTACGTGGGGTAGGGAGGCGTGGCCATTTCCAATTGTCACTTTTCAAACAAACTGTCACTTAAATTATATTTTTGCCCATTCGCGTCCCGTTGCATCCTGGCGAGAAAGGACGATGGAGATAGTGAGCGAAAGCGAAGAAGGACTGCCTGTGTATGTGTGTGCATCCCTGTACATGTCTTCAGCGAATTAATTAGAAAACTTTTCTTAACTGATTCAGTGCCAGCAGCAGCAGCAGCAGTCGAGAAACTGCTTGGGCATAGAAGAATAAGCAGCGAATACATACTTTCACTGACAAAAAAATAAGGACATTGAAAGAATTATAGTTAGTTTTTATAGAAAATGTAATAATTTATCAATATTAAAAATAAAATATTATACATTAAATATTGCTACACTTGATAAATGCCTCTAATTTCATATTCATATTCATACTCATCTTTAGAACAACTAACTACCTTAAAGTTTTATTTCCTACTTGAGGTCTAAGCTTTCTCGATGCTTTTCTGAATAATTATTTAAATTAATTAAATATTAAATTAGGAAATCACATGGCTCTGCTTTGCTTAAAAGCAAATTTCTCTGCAATACGCATTATATGAACAAGAAACAAAAGAAATCAGACCTTGCTTATTGCAATATCTTAGTAAGTAAACAATTTAGTGTCACGTTCTTAGGGTGCAAAGTTGAAAACTTTATACTCTTTGAATCACATTAATACCCTATATTTTTTTAGAGTGCACGTACGTGTCTGCAGACACACCCACACACACATACACACGCTGCAAATATTTGTGGCTGAAGCCAAAACCTAACCATGTACCATTTGTGTGCTGGTGTGTGCCACCGCAAAACTAAAACTGCAGGGGAAACTCTTTGAGGCATTCATTAGTTGGCTAAAGAAAATGTCACCCACACAGGCTGGCAAAAAAAAGGAGAGAAAGAAAGTATTACTGGCACAAGGGAGCTCCCTAAAGACGCCCCCTCTCTGTCTTCCTTGTAATGCCATTGAGCATTATAAATTCTACACGAGGATTTCGAACGCCCAAATTATGTCTGCTGCACTTGACTCACAGACTCAGACATTTATCCGGCATTTGAGGGTTAATATGGCGCCATTAGGCAACTATTAGCCAAAAATGGGATCTTAGAGATTGACTAGGAAGAGTTATCATTCAATATTTTAAACCAAGAATTTCTGTGACACATAATATTAAACTTTAGTTTGCAAACTTAAGCAAATTTCTTAAGCTTTATATGCAAATTAAATTTACTTATAATTTTACAAATAAATTATTAAACTTTAACAGTTTAGAAATGTATATGGGATTGTAAATTTTTGTTTTATATACTGCAATAATTTCGTTAATAAACTCCTTACTTAATACATTTTGGGTAAGCCTTTGATTTACTAAAAAGTGCTTCTTTGAGACTTTGGTTTAAATATACTAAATGTAAATACATTTTTACTGAAACCCAGACTTAACTCCACATTTCTAAATAATCCTATAATAAGAACAACCAATTGCTTTATCTTTTGATTAAAAAATACCTTAAAAGAATTCTCCAACAAGACCTGGCAGAGTAGTACAAGTAATAAAACATTTAACGCTTTCACAACTTTTAAATTGAGCCAATTTCCAGGCATTTCTCCCCCCCCCCCCCCCTAACAGGCGTTCGTTCCGCCAAAGTTTGCCTTCTAAAAATGATTTATAGCATCTGGAAATCCATTAGCAAACTATTGCCAAATGAAAGCCAATAGTTAAAAAAAGAAATAGCAAAGCAGAGAGAGTGAAGTGGAGCGTAATAAAAATCGAGAAGGCGCTGGACGTGGCAAAGAAGAGGCATTGCAAATTAAAAGGATGTCAAGCAACAAGCCGCAGCGCAAGCCGCAAAAAGGATCAATGGAGAAAAACGCTGTGTGTTCTATATGTATGTATGTATGTATGTATATCTGAGGAGACGCGCAAGATGTTAGCCAGGCTAGGTGGCATAGCAGTGGCTGCTGCAACTGGGGCTGGGGCTGGGAACCACGCCCACAAAAACCTCACCCAACTTTTATGCGATGGCAACATTTTATAAAGCAATTTCCACGAGAGCAGCAGCATCGAAATGCAATGCACGCCTGAAGGACGCACGCGTGTGTGTATGAGAGAGTCCTGCCGAGGGGGGGGGAGGGAGGGGTACAAAAACTATATACAATATGTATACAATATGGGTAGCACTCGAAGAGCGAGAGCAGCAGCAGCAGCAGCCATAGAAAGTTTTTCATTTTGCGGTTGACTCTGGAATTCGAAAATGCTGCGCAAGGCGGAGCCCTCGGGCGAACCCCCTTCCGCCTTCTTCCGCCCGCCCCCCCTGCAGCCTGGTGCGTATGCAGCTGGTGCAGAACTTTAAGTGGAGCAAGGACATCCGAAGGAGTGGAGGGCGGGCGAGCGAATAAGGAGCATTCCTGAGCTTTGGCTTCTGCTCCTGTTGAATTCCAGCACAAGTTAAGCAGCTTACGCATGCAGGAGCAGATGCAACAGCAGCATCGGCTACCTGAAGCCAAACACTGAGCGAAAAGAACTTATATTAACAGATTCCAAAAGGACACAAGTCATAACTTAAAAGAAATGGTTTAACTGCCCGAATAATTTAATCAAGAAAAGGCTTAATCCCTAATAAATATATATATTATATAATTTTAGAGAAAATATAGTTATGTTGCTGTATATTTTCTCAGTGCATAGCAGACTGCTCGGTATATTGACTTTCGTCCTGGCTTGCTCCTGTCTAAGTGATTATGCGCTCAAGTGCGCGGAGCGGGCTCAGAAACCGGAGCACCTCAGCGCTACGGTCTGGCTTCTCTGGTCTGGTCAAAAAATGCGCTAATTAGATTTTAATGAAGATGTCGCTGGCGCCCTTCAGCCCCAGTTTCCGTCTCTCCGAATCCTTCCAGCAATGGAGCAACAGTGTCCCGGATCAACGCGCTTGTTTCCCTGTTCAGCAAAGCGGAGATTTGTTTTCCAAACAAACTTATTTTAATTGCTGGATTATTTTTTATCCCATGTCTTGTTTTTAGTTTTTTAATTAAATCTTTTATTTTTAGTTTTGAGGCTCTGAATTCCCTTAATTGATAAGCTCCATAATTCTCAGCTCGTGAGTGCTGCACTTAACTTTTAATTACCATGTTTTTCATATTCGAAAGAAGGTAGGATGCCAGAACTTTTAATTGCATTAAAATGGCAGAGAGTAGTACTTTAATTCATAAAACACATTACCTAAAGGAGATATGGATTTATGCATTAACCTAAATTAATATTAAAATAATATATAAAAGTTTCACCTACTGTATTTAAACCCAAACTACTGCAAAAAGCAGAAACTACCAAGTAACTTTTTGGCTTTAATATTATATATAATAAAGCACATATTCTTTAGGGACGTAAGGTCCCTCCACCGTTCATTTAACGTTCAGAATCCCCGGATGCATATGCTGAAATTAATATTTAATTTACTTTATACTTTCAGTAAGGACCTGAAAGGCATCGCCCCGCTAAACATTTCCCTGTCGGCAGCTGTATGTCATGCTCGCATTTTCGTAACCAAACGACAACAACAGACTTAAATATTTGCATAGACAAGCCCTGACTGTACACTGACATATGTACATCTGCGAATATATATATGCATACACATATATATATATATATATATATATATATATATATATATATGTATAGGGAGCAGATCAAGGACTCTGTGGCTCTGCAGCCCCAGTGCATTTTGGACCAGAGGAGTTGTCCCTCGAAGGAGTGTAGCTCGGACTCTGCACACCAGGACCCCTCAAGTGCGTCGCCGAGTCGTCGCCTTGATTTACGATTAGT